AAAATAATTCAACATGCTAATTCACCTTGCAATTGCTCGATTTGGGCAGTACCCAAGAAAGCCGATGCTTCTGGGAAAAGGAAGATTAGAATGGAAATAGAATACAGAAGATTAAATAATAGAGGATAAATAATAATAATAGAGGATAAATTCCCATTACCGAACATAGACGATCTTGTTGGTAAAATAGGCCATGCATCCTACTTTTCAGCAATATATTCCTAAGAGTTCCAACAGATTGAAATGGACCCAGAATTCTTACCTAAAACAGCATTCTCTGTGGAAGATGGGCATATTGAATTTCTACAAATGTCCTTTGGCTTAAAAAATACTCTGCCAACCTTCCATAGAGCCATGAATATAACATTTACAAGAATTATAAACGTTGAGGGGCGTCGATGACCATAACAGTTTAGGTGGTAGGTAAAAGTTCCGGGTTCGAATCCAGCGGCCCTACATTAGTACCCGACATACTTACAAATAATCCCCCCCCCCAAAAAAAAAAACCGGCACCCCAAGGGTTGATGTAACCTCTGCTGTTGCGAACCTTCGTATAAAAAAAAATTACAAACGTTTTAGTTTACATCATCATCTTACACAATCTGACAGAACACCTAAAGCATAGGCTAGCATTAAGAGCGTTCTGGAGAAATTAAGCCAATAAACTTCAAGATTCAATTAGACAAGATTGAATTATTCATGGAAGAATTGTTGTTCTTAGGACACATACTATCGAATAAAGGCATATGTCTTAACCCTGAAAACTTCAAAGCCATATCTAAATTCCCATTCCAAAAACAAATAAAGCAATTGAAAAACCTTTAGCAGTACCCTTAAGAAAAAACGGTAATGTACAAATTACAAATTTAAACAAGCCTTCAAGACATTAATTGAAGCATTGCAAAATCTATATAATATTGCAAATGCCAAACTTTGAACAACCTTTTAACAACTGATGCCTCCAAATATGCCATTGGGGTCGTACTATCACAGAATGTAGGTGGAAAAGATCTACCAATTGCATATTCTTCATGTACACTAAATAAACAAGAATAGAATTACTCTATGATAGAAAAAGAATTACTAGCAATAGTATGGGCATGTAAATATTTTAGACCATACATATGTGGTAGTCGATTTACAATCTGACCATTAATGATTACAATGGCTGCATAACCTTAAAGAGCTGAACTCGAGGTTGTTACGATGGAAATTAGCAGATTTTGGCTTCGATATCAAATATGCCAAAGGCAAAACAAATTTTGTAGCCGATGCTCTCACGTAATCCTCCAACAATAAAAACCATGAATGCAATTGAAAATGCTGGCCCAGATCCTGACATGGTAGTCGACAAATTCCTATCCTCTCCCTCGCCTTCAGATATCGGAGACATGGTGGAAGATCTAAATAAGACATTTGGTGAACAATACAGAGACGACACGGACAGTTTACAAACGCAACATTCACAAGAGTTCTCTGACGACCAAATATTCATCTTGACGACCAGACAAAATGTGTGAACGTGGAAAAACGCCAAATTATCACTACGGGAAATTAAAAAAAAAAAATATAACATTATGAAAAACATTTAATAAAAATAGATACCTTTGGTACACACAATATCCACATTCTAAAGACTTAGAAAAAAATTGCATGGAATTGTTACAACCAGGAAAAATATATGGAATATATTTTTCTCCTGTAATAGAAAAGGCTATAGATGAAAAGATCTATGACTGAATATTTAGTCACCTGTCCAATGTTATTAAAAAGAATTATCCTACTATAAAGATTAAAAGATATTTTAAAAAGAAGTTCCACGTTTCAGACCCCTCTAGGCAAGAAACAATAATCTTAAATTACCATATCGGAAAAACCGTTGATATAGGAATTCATGACGTCTACCAGCAAATAATAAGGCCAAATATGCTAGATGAGATAACAAAAGTAATTAATAATTGCTCTCTGTACAAAGAAATCAAATACAATAGGCGACCAATCATACAAGTTAACGAGATAACTCTCAAAATACCTTTTGAAAAATTGCAAGGTGACATTTTTCATTTAAAAGGGAAATTGATATTTACATTGATAGATTGCTTTGTGAAAGATTATCCGCATATTTGATAAAAGCGTCAAATGTCGATGAAATAATCAGAACAATACTTAACTACATTTCCTGGTCTGAAAATAATCCAATTCGATAATGGCACTGAATTCAAAAATATATTAATTGAAAATTTCCTCAAACATCAAAAAACATGACAGAAATTACACATTGATTAAAACGTTAAGACTTTCCCTAATAGCATACAATAATGCTATAATCTCAAATTTAAAAATGACACTAAAGGAAATAACTTTTGGACCAAGTGAAAACACCAATTCAGAAGATATTATATTTAAACAAAAAGATAAGAAAATAATGATGATAGTAGGAAACTTATAATTAACTAATATTAAAATAACAAATTGATAAAGAAAAAGAAGTCAAAACAAATAAATTAAATCAAACGCGTGAAAAAATAGAGCTTCCAAAAGGAGAAATCTATTTTAAAGATAAACAATTCGGTAAAGCCAAACCGAAATATAAAAAAGCACACTATTCGAGTAACACAAAATTAGCCATAATGCACAGAATACAATTAAAAATACACCCTAACCTAATTAAAAGACAGTAAGTTTGCAAAGCCTATCTCTGTTACAGATGGAAATGTTGTTAATCACACTATTCCTCGTGACACTGGCAAAACGAGTCGAATCTATTAAAATAACTTATCTGACACGTGGACCTGGGATTGTTGCCATACAACTGCCACAAGCAAATGACAGACAAATCTTACACGTTTATTCATGTAATCAACTTAGAACTAATAAAAACAAAACTAGATCATACAAAAAACACTAAAATTCATACTTAGCAAACCAGAATCTTTATCAAAAATGTATCTACACACGAAAAAGAAATTTGATTACTTAATTATAAATGAACCAAAAACACAAAGACTTGTTAATGGTTTAAGCAAGGCAATATCTTGGATCATTGGAAATATAGACTGATGACGAGATACGACAAAGCAATAAATGCAATCCAGAGCAACTCCTTTCATTTGCAACACAATTTTAAAAACCAAATGGTAATCAACAAAAATTAACCAATGAATTTAATCACGATATGCATACCATACCAGAAAACAATAGAAAAATAAAATTACTAGCAAATCCTTTATTAAATGATTTAGAAAATATCAAACTTTAAGCATTATACTCCTTTTCCCAAAAAATAAAATTGACGATATAGAAAACGCTGTAGAATTTTGTAAATTAAAAACATTACATTTTCTATTTTAACATATGATGATCTTGAGTTTCTAAAGAAAACCAAAAATATTACATTTATATCCCCCTAATCTTAGTACACTTTGGCAACTGACTAAACATGTACTACATTGCTCTTTTGTTGTCAATAATATTTATTATTTTATTGATATACCATTACAAAGCCAAAGCTTTGATGCCTATTTCCTGCTATCCTATCCAGTTCATAAAACCTATCAAGCAACGACAATATACACTTACCCATCCTTAATTCTCAAAGCGATGGATGACTTATTCACTCCTACATGCTTAGAAATAAGAGAATTTACTTATTGTACAAATAAATAAAAATTAATAATGATTAAATCTTCTTAATTGTAAGACTGTTGTTACATCAAGCAGACCAATTTATTAAATATGTAGCTTTTATCGACCATTATTTAGCATATGAAACCAACAAAATTGTACTTGTAGAAACAATACCGAAGAAACTATTCTTAACTAATACTAGTCTTATGAAATTAGGCAGCAATGAAAGATTGTTAAATGAAAAGACAATACCAATGTTTAAAGAAACCAAAGTTTTGTTTACAATGTGTTTGATCAAGCAAAAACCAATATATCTTTTGAAAATGTACATGTAAATATAAAAATGCAACTGTTGGATATTTTAGAGGATGTTCCCTTGAAGGTTGCAAATATATATTTATAATATCCTGTCAGCTGTACACATGACTGCGTATCTTCGCTGATGTCAAAAGAAAAATAATCGACCCTCATAAGAGATGGATTCAACAAATAAAAGACCCTCACCAAGATGGAAATGCTCAGACTACACCTGCATCCGCTTTCTCAAGACTACTTTTTCTCTTGCAGGAGCTTCGAGCTTAGGGACGGAGGAGTTATAGAAACATCCTACATGTAGATAACCAGCACGACAGATAAGTCGAGCGGGTCAGACGTGCCAGATATCTAGGAGCCAAAGGCAAAAAAGCAAAGCAGCATCTGTAATCAAACACTTCAGCCCTTAGGCCAATTAGTCCAATTAGATAAATATGTATATAAACCCTTGTATCAACTAGAAAGGGAACTCTTACTATGTTACTCTTATTGTAACGCTCTGTCCGTTATAGTGTTGGTCTCTCTGTTGTAATCTTTTATTATAAAAATTCTTCTTTTTAAAAAGCCTTTCCTGCCTTATTTAACTTCAGTTTTAATTCAAGTTATTGAACAGAGATATATGTGGAGGCTTAGTTATTAGGGTGTCCTGTATTTGCCACATAAGCGGCTCTGAATTTTATCCCCATATAATTTTATTTTAGAATAATTTAGAGAGAGAAAAAAGTGGTTCGACTCCTTGTCTAATACCCAACAGGTTTGGGCGTTAAGCCCTCTATAAACAAAAATTACTTTTATTATCTAGTGATTTAATTAAAATTGATTGAATAAAAATGTATACATAAATAATGTTATTCTGTTTCTGTTTACTTCTTTAATAAATGTATGTAGCTAGATGGTTAACAATCATCTTGGTCTGCCTGTTCTCAGTGGTTTTGTCTGCAGACTTGAATGTTTCATCAGTTGCTCCAACATGCATCAGACCCAGATGATGAGAAATCATCAAATGATTTCCATATTAAATTATTTTAGCATCCCCATTATTTATGTTAACTTTTTTCCAGCCATAAAAAAGAAGATGTCTGTGGGAGCAACGGGAAGTAAAAAGGTAAACCCTGAGAGCCCTGGGAGCGTTAGCAACGATGAAGAGAATAAATTCACCCAACAGGCGAAATGTGGTTACTGTATGACAACATTCAAATCTATCGTGGTGAGTGATAATACAAAACATCTCAACCAAATTTTATTTATTTATTTTTTTTTTTAATAATCATTATTGCAATTTAGGGCGTTAAAATACATGAGAAGAAATGTAAACTGAAACCCACAGAAAACGGCGAAGCTAGGATCTCAGTGGTAAAAACAACCCAATTACAGACGAATGGCATCAAATCATCTGTGGTGAACAGAGAGCCGTGTACTAATGGAATGGACCAATCTTCATCGCAAGAAGTCCAAAATGGTGTAGAGATGATGTTAAATGACAAAGAATATGAGAGAAATACACCATCCCAACCCTTTGATCAAATGATAGGTATAATTTCTTTGTTTTTAAATATATTTTAATTGTGAAAACCTACCAAATTGAGTGGAAATGACTGAACTACAAATGTTAAAATCGTCCGTTTTGAGAAAATGACGTAGAAAGTTGTTAATTCCAATTTTCACAGGTGTTATGTTAACCCCATGGGGGTGCATTGCAGTTGTTATTAAAGGTATACTGATAAAAGGCTTTAAAAAAAGTCATCATTTAGAGCACAGTTTAAGCCGAGGAAGATGATATCTACAAACCCACATGGGCTTTTTATGATGTAGTGGAATCATTTCTCAAAGATATTTATTTGTGTAAAAGCATTGTAAATACAAAAAAAGATGTCCATTGTCAACTAATGTGTGGATGGTCATAAATAACTCAAGATGGCTCAGCAACTATTCACTAAAGGCGGTGGCCATCTTTACGACCACTATAGTGAGCCGTTGTGTTCAGCCCATTTCAAACAACTATCGCTTTTTCACTGCACTTTCATCCATAAATAGTGATACCTGCAGGGTGATGGGCCTGTAGTTTGTACTGCCTAACAACATTGCTTTGGTCTGTCAGATGTATTTAGACTTTTTTTCGTCTTCATTAGTCAGTTTTACCCAAAACAATTGTAACATAAAAGCCGAAACGAAACCGATAAGAGCGAGGATGAACTGACATAAAACTGTAACTGCACTATCACTCTTCTCCTTCTTTTTTCCACAACTTACAGCATATTGTTCAATATATTTGTAATATCACCTGCTCTGGTGTGTCTACGAAACCGGTTTTTCAACTTGTATCTATAAATCTATCGTTAATTTAATCTGAACAGGGCTGTTAGGATTAACAGGACTAGTTTAAAAAGGGAAAAACTTAAAATTAATAAAGCATCCTGGGTTAAATTTCTGTCACTGCCTTTATAATTTAATTTAAAATTTGTTATAATTAATTAAGGTTTTTAGTGGAGATAAAAAGTCAATGGCACGAGAGGGATTCGAATCCACGATCTTCGGCTTGATACGCCGCTGCTCTACCACTTGAGCTATCGTGACCTCGATCCACTCGGACACCAACTCCCATCTCAACCGCACCTTTTGAATTTTCCCTCCTTTTTGCCATTTTTCAAATGTGTAATCGGATTGGATTCTCGACGACAAATGAAATGGCCACGGAGAGCTTTAGTGAAGTATACTTCATTTTCAATCATTAAATTCACTAATTTCATGGTCCGCTTGACCAATTAATATATTATAATTAATAGTCAATTAAAAAGTCAATGGCTCGAGCGGGATTCGAACCCACGATCTTCGGCTTGATACGCCGCTGCTCTACCACCTCGATCCACTTGGGCACCAACTTCTTCTTCTCAACCGCACCTTTGGGGGGGGGGTTCGAATCCCGCTCGTGCCATTGACTTTTTTATCTCAACTAAAAACCTTAATTAATTATAAATATATTAATTGGTCAAGCGGACCACGAAATTAGTGAATTTAAAATTTGTTGTTGATACTAGTTTGAGAAAGTATGTAACCATCTGAACTTCGCCCTTCCCATAAGTAGATAAGTAAACTTTGTAAACTAAACTGTTTTCAAAAACCTGTCAGCATTTGTGAATGTTCTGTGGTATTCATAACAGAAAAGAAGACCTGTTTAAAAATAGAATTATTTTGAATCATGATTTAGTTAGTCATTAGTTTATTTTTCTAAGTTATTCCAATAATTGTAAGAAATATTGAGCCTAGACATTTTTCTGATTTTACTTAACAAAAAAAAGTGCAATAATAATTTTGTCAAGCAAAAATATTTGTAATGTGATCGTTACTGATAATTTTGCTCTGCCTATCATTGCTGTCTATCAGACACATTTAAGCGTGTCTTCCGTCTTCAATGTGTTTATGTGATTTTATGAAGTCGAGCATTTTTTTCCCTCCCACTCCCTATTTATAAAAGAGTCTGACTTTATACAGTCTCTTTCACACACACACACACACACTGAAGAGGATTAGCAAACAAAAATCATTGGTTACAACCAAATTGCAAGTTCATCACAGGCCACAAGAGAAAATCTCACAAAAGATTTGTGCAAATACACTGCCCATCAAATAAACTGACTACATGGTCTGATTTTTAGACAGTTTTACGCTGAACAAGATGGGTTTTTTTAATGTTTTCCTAGCATCAGTCATTTATCAGTAAATGCAAAAATTCTGGAACACGGAGCCAAATAATCATCCAGGAGCAGATGTAGCAATCAATAGGAAAATTTAATAAGCTTTCAAGTGCTCACCTTCCACTTTACCCGATTTCTGAACTCTTTTCGAATTATTTTTGGGCAAAAAACTTAGTTTTTTATGTGCTCATGGAAAAACCAAACACTCTTTCTTGATTTTTAAGAATGCATAAATTTTGAACTGTAATGTTTTTGCAAGTTTTACACCCTGCACTTTTGTTCAGAAGACTTTTTCAAGAGTAGCGACAATTCTGGCTTTCTTACATTGACCTTTTGGGATGTGGAATGTTTCTGCTGTTTTCACAGTTCATTTCATGTTTTCATAAAAAGTGCAAAAATTGACATGTTCCCGAATTTTTGAATTTACTGATGAATGACTGAAGCTAGGAAAACATTTAAAAAAGCCATCTTATTCAGCGTAAGTTTTATAAAAAATGAGACCAAGTGCAGGTCTGTGACTTAAAAGGCTGAGAAAACATGCATTTCCAAAGTTGGACATTTTTTCATGCAAAAACCAGGTGGTTGGTTTTTTGATGGGCAGTGTATTTTGTTTTGAACAAATAAAGAAACAAAATATGCTTTACCTCTGTTTAGTCTTCTTTAAAAAAATAAATAAAAAATGAAGTGAATTTATTTTCTTCCTTTAGTAAAACTTGATGACAGTCTCTGCACATGCTGCGGCGAAAATTTAGAGACAGCTCATATCGTAAGTTTATTGAGCCTGTTAAATTTCATTCATGTAGTTGAAAAATACCAATTTCCTTTTCAGTCTGGTGATTTTGAATGTTACGAATGTAAGAAGTTTTTCCTTTTGAAATCGTCACTCGAGCGACACATCAAGACGATACATCAAGGAGATAGCCACAAATGCCCCCAATGCGGTGCAAGGTGTCCCGACAAAGGGACTCTTGCTAGACATATGTACACACACACAGGTATTGCATTAAAGTCATATTAAATACTTTATATTAGATCCAAATTCCGTGCCAGAAAGGAATGGGAAAATTGGTAAGATATTGTATTTTTAAGGTTAAATGTTATTTTAGGCCTTAAACCCTATTCCTGCCCTGTTTGTAAACAGGAATTCAGCAGGAAATATCATCTAGTTAGGCACAATATGCAAACTGGTTGTGATGGGAAGGAAAAGCCCATTTTCCCTTGTCAGGTAATTTAATGATATAAAAAAAAAAATTTAGCAAATGCGAGGGAAAATTTGGAATTAGGAAAGAGAGGAATAACTTGTTTGATTTCCGTCAAGGTATGTGGTCGTGAATTTAATAGAAAAGACAACCTCAGGGAACATCTGAGAGCACATGCAGGCCAGACCAAACGTAAAAAGCTGTTCTCATGCGATTTTTGTGGAATGGAATTTTGTGGAACCAACCTCCTTCAAATCCACAAAAAAACACATACTGGTAAGTTAAAGATGAGAGTTGAGTCGAGCATGCTTTCAAAGCTATCGCATCTTCTAGAAGCTTTGCGAAGACCTGCAATCCTGCATGATACACTTAATCCCAATTAGAGAGTTCAAGGTGTTCTTTCCTGATATTAAAATAACTTTTTTATTGGTTTTTACTAAAGGTTTTTTTCTGCTTTGCGCTTTTTTTTTTTTTTTTGCTTTTTTTTAAGTTTCTAAAAATCATATCCTTGTAGGGGAGAAGCATTACGTCTGCGATTTCTGTCCGAAAAGATTTCCGACAAGTGGCGCAATGAAGAAACACAGAAGAACTCACACTGGTGAACGACCGTACGAATGTGATACTGTAAGTTTTCTATTATTTAAAAAAATTAAAACTATTTATAAAATGAAATTTGTAAAAAACATATTATAAAACATGAGGTTTTTAAATAAATATTAACTAAATCTCGTTTATTGCTGAAAAGATGGAATTGATAAAAGGTAAGAGGTCTCATGTGGGAATGAAACATAATGCACAAATGTCGGCTGACAAATCAAGCATGAACTAGACGTCTACATGTGGCATGCCTTGTTTTTTTGTTTTGTTTTTTTCTTGTTATATATTTAAAAAATCATGTAAGCTCTTTTGTAGATAGTTTCAGGGTAAAGTGCAAAAAGAGGCATTTTGTATTTTCAATATGGCAGACCAAACATAAATAGTCTGAATAGAAAGGCATTTTTAAGATTTTTGTTTTAGTTTTATTTTTGTATGTTTAAAAATAATCAGTTGGGTGTTCCGAACCTCATTTCTGAACCTTAAATCCTGGCCAGACAGAAAGTGAACCAGAAGCCAATATGGGGTCGTCACATAATGCAACAGAATGTGCAAGATGTCCAGTTAAATTGTGAGAAAGAGAAAAAGGGCCGAGAGGCGAGGAGGCCGATAAATCAGGCGAAGAAAGTTCAATGACAACACCTTTCAGTCAGAACCATTTTATGGCATAACAAATTGCCAAAAATGTAGATCCATCAAATGGGTTAGGAATAAGTCCTCCGTTCAATGGGATAGTATTCAGGACTACTAAACTAGGATGCGTTAAGGTTAGAATGGTAGTACGACTGCTGACTGGATGCAATGTCTTCAGAATATTATAGACTCGGAGCAGCAGAGCCAAGCCTGTGCAGAATTGCCAGGAAGAAGAAGAAACAGTAAAAGCATGTCTTCTATGTGGGCAGGCTAAGATTTCTACTCCTGAAGTTTACACCCGGGATCCATTAACAAAACTTTGGTATCTGATAAAGTCTTAACACATTTAGTGACCTGCATGCAGGTCATGAAATGTAATGTTTCTAGAAATAGGAAATTTTGCCGTAAATTGAATTACCAGGCCACTCTGAATGGGTTAAGCTTATCGGAGAGCTCTAGGTAAACAAAATTAAGAAATTTCTGTCATTCACAGGGCTTAAAGTCCAACATGGTGTCACGGACGAGGGGTCAAACCACTTTATAATGAATTTTTCATACAAAAAACCAACTAAAAAGCCAAGGGATCTGCCCGGATTCATACCCAGAACCGCTTTCGTAATATGAGTTGGGCTCCGTAACCGCTCAACCACTGCAATCCCCTGTTCTAGGTAATAACTGCACGATAGACCAATCATAGTTCGTAAGTTCGTGAAGGGGCCGACTCCTTACCTTATCCATTTGAAAGAGAAAATTACAGTTCTTGCTATATTTGTTTGAATTCACTAAAAATATTTAATTTAATGTACCTAATAATCATTTTATGGACCCTTCTTATTACAATTATTCCTATTGCTGCTAAGCAAACACTTCTATCAAGCAAATAAAATTCCATTCCTGTGTTGTCCACTTATGAGAAGCTTGTCTATAGTTGTTACACCCAAAATTATTTCGGGTCAGAGCAAAGTTTTTCCCGGTAGCTCATCGTGAGTGGGGGGGGTAAGACTGGAGGGACAATTTACAAAATAAAAAAAAAATAAATATTAAAGACCAAAGAAATATTGGTGAGTTGGGCACCACCCCATTTTATGCGTCCAGAGTAATGGGGAACTCCTTTAACTAAAAGTATATTCTTGCTTGTACTCTAAATAAATTTGATAAAAATAAATAAATAATCAATATATAAGAGGAAAGTAGTGTAATATTTTCTATAAAAAATATAAATGATTTACTTTATTACATGGTGGACACTCGCCATGGGGGGGGGCACTCCAGGCAAGGCCACTAGGCTTGGGCCAGGATAAAGCCAGCCTAACATGACGGGTCCTGATCAGCAACCGTACCTTCTCCTTATCGCATTCAAGTTCCCTCTGCTTAAATGATTATTTATGTATTTACGAGGTACCTGGCCGTGCAAAATAATCAACCCAAACAAAAAAGTAGATTAATAAGGAGGGAAATAAAATTTTAAAAAAATGAGAATCCGCTTAACAATGGGGCGATTTATTATTCCTAAACAGAGTAAAATTAAAATAGGTACTTTGTTTCCTTAATGAGCTATAAAATAAACCATAAACCAGATCTGGACTAACTTAAAAAAAATTAAAACTTAATAATCTAAATTAACAATAATGAATCGTTAAAACTAAAATAAACAAAAATTCCTTCTTCATACAGTCTTTTCCATAAACCAACAATTTTACTTGGGAATCGTTGATCCAGCCACGACCATCCGCCGAGTCCTCCTGGGAGAAAGAAAAGAGAAAATCTCCGGAGAATCGGGGCCGCCTCTATATCCTTTCAGAAAACCACGAACGGACAGTCCTTGCTCTTCGCCGTGGTCTGGTGAGGAAGGCACCCGGTGGAAATTCCCACGAAGAAAAATCCGGACGAGCCATTTTCCGGAGAATCTCTATCAGTTGCCCATTCGTAGGTGTTTACCGCACTCTTCTCCTCGGCGACCTCTGGCTCGGTCCAATCGCGTTATCACTTAATCCCCGGCACTAAATACACACTCTTAATAATAACACTCATTGTTGATTTTCACCAATTTCCTACATACACTGGTTATTTTTAATTAATAAAAATTTATCCATCTTATAACTTGGTTACATACCTCCTCACAAGAAAAGGAAGCTGATCGAGGTGAGAAAATAAAAATTTGATTTTGGGGCAAAAAAAACCACTTTCCTCTCTTACAATAATGATATTATAAAAACCTAATTTTTTTTTTTTTTTTTTTTTGTCACGGTGTTTTCACACTTTTTTTCTACTGTATTAATACGAGCTTTGATAACTTTGATAAGCATTGTGAAATTCAAAGAAAAAGAAAATACGATGTTGATGACAATAAGAAAAAATGGGGATACTATCTTAATTATTAAAAATATTTAATTATGTTTTAATTACAACTTAGTCAATTATGAATTTCTGGTTTGATCGCTTAATTTAACCTAGAACAAAATCTGTGCCTCAAAGGATCAAAGCAGTTGGGCGATCGCATGGGCATTCTGTGATTTTGTACAACTGGGTCCCGTTTGTTTCTATCATTGTGACAAAATAAGTGCAAGGGAAGTGATAATCTGAGAGATGATGTAAATTGTATAGCACAACTAGGTCAGGTCACAGACCTTCTTGATCAGATATCGCTTCCTGCGTGACAGTTCGCTGTCTGGCCAGGCTTTTAAAAAAATTGCATTTTTTCATATTAAAAAAATACATGCGTATTAATATTTATGATGGATTTAAAGGTATCTGGATAAAAAGCAATACCCACAAAAAATGTTCTCAAATTCTTAAATATTTTGTTGATGAAGTGAGGAACAATCAGAGATGAAGTATTTTAGAAAAACACTTTTTGCCGACGTTTCAACCTTTATTAGGGTCAAATTCAGGGCCTGGGTGAATTACAAAATATATATTAATTGGATAAACTGCAATGCAGATGTAAATATAAATATTGAACCGAGTATTTCATATTCAGTTAAGGTGTTTTGCTATTATTGTGATGTCATATTAGTCGCTCCTCACGACTTCAACAAATTATTGAACAACCAGTCACAAAAAAATCACACATTCTTAAATATATTGGATTGGATTTGTGGATGACGCCATGGGGGTGAAAATATCCTCCTAATAAATACATCAAAGAAATAGTCACCGCAGTAAATGTGTTGATTAATACCTACTGATTCAAAAAGTAATTTTGTTGTTTCTTACTAATACTTAAAAAAATTTAAAATATTTATTTTTTGAATGGCTGGGCTACTATGCTGCTTAAGTTTATGCTGTTTAGATAGATATGTGTCTAGTTTACAATAATTGTTTGCATGAAGTAAATTTTGAAGAGATGTTTAACAGTTTAAAAAATTTTTACTTCAAACCATTTTGGAATTAAATTCGATAGATATTATTGTTTTATTTTGTTGATAATATTATGAACAATTTTCCAGTGCCACAAGCGTTTTGCTGCAAAAGAAACTCTAAACAGGCATGTTCGCATTCACACTGGCTACAAGCCGCATTGTTGCAATTATTGCGGAAAACGTTTCATCCAGTCTTCACAGCTTCGGTCCCATCTTTTCTATCACACTGGGCAAAATGGTAATATCAAAAATGGCGGAAAAGAAAATGTATATGTTCCTAATGTTATTGTTTTATTTCAGTTTTACAGCAGAACGAAGCGTTTGTATGCGAATTGTGTGGAAAGAAGTTTAATAGAAGAGCGCGTCTGAACGAACATGTGAAATATGTTCATCTAGGGGCTAAACCGTTTGAATGCGACCATTGCAGTAAAACATTTATAAGGAAAGAAGATTTAAATAGGCACTTGATCATTCATTCTGGTATAAAAGGTTTGTTTATTTTGTTTTTTTTATAAATGTTCACTGTTTCCATCCACACTTAATTATACATTGTTAATTAATTTTCAGCACACCAGTGCCCAATTTGTAGCAAGTCTTTTGCCATGAAATCTTCCCTCAAAGTCCATCTTTTAACACATACCAAAGTAAGTTCATTTGTAAATTTTCAAATTTATTTTAAAATATTTATACTTGAAATGTTGTAAAGGAACCTCCGAGGTCGTGTGACGAGTGTGGAAGAGCTTTCATTAGGCAGGACTGCCTGCTCAGGCACATGAGGAACAAACACAGAGACATGCTGGAAGAAATCAGATCGGAGGCTGAAAAGAAAAAACTCCAGCAACAATTGCTCCAGGTGATTTATTTCAAATTGACTCAATTTACACCACTACAGTAAAAAAAGTTGTTACAAAATTTACCAAAGACCATACTCGACTTTTTCGGCCGTTTATTAGTCATGATACTATTTAATATCTTTATAAATTAGCCAGTAGTTTTTTTTTTTATATATATATTTTATATGGTGTTTTTATTTTAAAGGTGGCAGCTGAGGCGAGTATAGTTGAAGGGCTGGAAGACAGGGCTGAACTGGACGAAAAAGGATTAACCGATGCTGTAAGGGAATTGTTGACGTTGCTCGTGGATGAGGCTACTTTAAGAGGCCTAGGTTGGCCGGAAGCCGGCGTTGAAGCTTTGCTCGAAGCCGTCATAAGACGATGCGGTCACGAACCAGCTTCGTTGTCAATTCCTCATCACGAACGTCTCAGGCACAACATCAAGTTACTCTTCACCGTTGTCATCGATGACTCAGCTGTCAAAGCACTACTCAACAACCAATCCGTCGATGAAGTAATACTCCATGTACTCAGATTAGCCAAATCATAACTCGTTCAAGTTAATTTGACTCAAGAAAGCTTTAATCTGGATTTTGTTTTTCAAGCGAAAATAATTGTAAATATATATATTAATTTGTTTTTAAATCTAATTTTATTTCAATACAAAATATAACTTTTTTGTAACTCGCTGATTTCTATAATTGTATCAATTAATATATTAAGAGTATCTTTTTTGTAAAATATATATAATTGTGATAGAATTTACCACTGACTGTTTTTACTTTCTTTAGCACAACATAAAACAAAATATGTTTATCAAATTATACAATCGACAACAATTAATTTTGGCAAAAGTGAGCTTTGAATTGTAAATTAAGTTTTTCCACATTTAAAATATTATTATTATTTTAATTCTGATAAGCTTTCTTAGAATATTTTTTTTTAGAGATATATTTTCTTACATGTTTATATCTAACTTTTTTTTTAATCCAAAAGAATATCTTTTTTAAGGAAAATGTTTTCCTTCGTAGCCTTTCATCAAAGGAAATGGTTCCTTTTTAAAATGAGAAATGAATCTATTTATATATCTTTTTCTATTTTTTAGATTTTTCTTTAATTCTTTTGGATTGTGTAAAAAGTGTATTTAAGAGGTGATTTATTGTTTTTTAAAAGCAATAAATTAATTGATATTAAGTCCAATTTTCTTGTAAAAAAGAAAAAAATTTGAAATTAATTTTTTATGAAGATAAAATTTATATTATTATTAAATATTAGGACAAAAATATTTTTAGTTTTAAATAAATTACGATTTTCTTAAGCAAGTATTTTGTTTGCTCCCTCCTCTTTTTCCCAACATTGCGATAACAAAAATATAATATTATGAAGATTAATCCATTTATGTTGTGGTTTAACTGACCATTTTTAATTATTCTTTTTATCTAGGTCTTGGTTGAGATGAAAAAGTTAATGCCACGAGCAGGATTTGAACATTCGGCTTGGGTTCAAATCCTGCTTGTGGCATTAACTGTTTCATCTCAACCAAGACCTTGCATAAAAAGAATAATTAATTGAAATAATTATGAAGATTATTAATTGTTTGGTCATATCTGATCTTTCTGGTCTGCCTATCCTTCCCAGAAGCAAGAATTGACAAACAAAGCTCATAGAAGTAAGTAAAAAGATTAAATAATTTTTAAACAAAAGAGCACCCTGTTCCGATCTCAGCTTTTATCTCTTTTTTTTTTTTTTTTTTTTTTTTTTTTTTTTTTTTTTTTTTTTTTTTTTTTTTTTTTTTTTTTTTTTTTTTTTTTTTTTTTTTATCTGACCCTGTAAATCAAATTAATTTGGGTAGGTTTTCTACCTCTAAAATGAATCATGGTAATGGCAAGTCCTCAAAAATATATTCCTCTTGTATGGTAACGAATTCCGTATTCCGCAATAATATTTACTTTAAAACCAGAAGTTATGTACCTTGGTCATGTTCATCAGTTTGCAGACCTTACAGTAATGATTTACGAGAACTCTTCCCAAAAGTGATTATTGAATAGTGTTAGATTTCTTTGGAAAATATCAAAAAGTTCCTTTCGAATAGTGCCACTTTATTTTTTAATACATCCACAAGCTCCTTTTGAATACTTACAGATTTTGAAAAATATTAAAAAATTTCTTTTGAGTAATTGTAGATTTATTTTTTAATACCTCCAAAAGATCCTATTGAATAGGGTTAGATTTTTTTTGGAAAATGTCAAAAATTGCTTTAGAATACGTGCACCTAAAGTTTATTTTGAATACGTTTAGTTTTTTTTTTAATACATGTAGAATGCTTACAAAATGTCCAAAAGTTCCTTTTTTATATTTTTAGATTTCTTTTATAAACTAGATATCCAAAAAGTAATATTGAGTATATGAAGATTTATTGTGTAATAAAACCTAGTTTCGTTTCAATACTTGTAGATTTCTGTTTTAATACATCCAAAAGTTTCTTTTTAATGCATGCAGAATTCTTTATAAAATGTACAAAAGTTCCTTTTTTTATATTTGTAGATTTTTTTTTGTAAAGTGGATATTGAAAAGTAAGCTTTGAGTATGTGATTTTTTTTTTGTAATATAACCTAACTACTTTTTAATACTGGTAGATTTCTTTTTTAATACATCCAAAAGTTCCTTTTGAATACATGTAGAATTCTTTACAAAATGTCCAAAAGTTCCTTTTTTATATTTTTAGATTTCTTTTATAAACTAGATATCCCAAAAGTAATATTGAGTATATGAAGATTTATTGTGTAATATAACCTAATTTCTTTTTAATACTTGTAGATTTCTTTTTTAATACATCCAAGTTCTTTTGAAAATATGCAGCATTCTTTATAAAATATTTTGAAATACATGCAGATTTATTTTTTAATACTTCCAAAAGCTCCTTTTGATTACGTGCAGATTTTGTAAAAATATTTATAAGTCCCTTTTGAGTACTTGAAGATTAATTCTATCATAAATTGTTCTATTTTATGTTGTTTAAACAATTCAATATTTCTCATTGGTCAAGATAGCAGATTTTGTTTTTTAAATACAAGTTAGACATGGTTAAAAACAAGCCTTTTAAGATAAATGTTTATTTCTAATAATATATGTACACAGTATATGAATATAAAAATATTCTATCACAAATAAATGTTATAATGGGATGATCTATGATGATCAGTTTATTAATGCCCATTAGCAAAAGGTCAATATTAAACAAATTGTAATTTTTTTAAATGAATAAATGCAAGTAAAATAACTAAACAACACATTAAAAATCAAGAATAGAATGTATATTAATTTGTGTTAGAAAAAATTATTTTAAAAAGATATATATATATTTTTTTAAATAATTAGTCATATAGGAATGCTAACATGTGTGAATATAACTTAATAAAAGATAGACAATTAAATAAAACGGTAATTAAAAATGGTAAAAAATAATTGAATAAAAATACATTGAGGAACTATTATACAATGGGTATAATTAATGGCGGATAAATTTTAAATAAATCAAAGCCGCGAGTATGCAAATTTCACTTATAATAATAACAACAAGTATGACTTTGTTCATCAGTACCCCCCTTTTCATAAAATTGATCAACTGTTGTGATTTTGTGAGGGAGGTCTCAACGTCACCAAGGCGGTTTGAAGCCCTGAGCAGTGTCTCTCTCTGCTCGGCGAGCTCAGAAATGACGTTAGTCCCTAACGACTCGGTCTCGACAGCGCACTGCTCAGCCCTTGTGAGACTCGCAGACGTCCTGTTAAGAGCTTCAGTGCCCTCCACGAGGACAGATCTCTGTCTCTCTTCCCACATTGTAACGAGGGAAAGCTTAAAGGCCTGCAACAATTAATTATAACATCAAATAAATAATTCATAACTGGAATTTTATTTAATTTTTTTTTTAAATGCAATAAAACTTCACTATTTACTATAATTACCTATAAATAAATAATCTTTAAAAAATATATTACATTTTAAAAAATTCAAATTTAATGTTTAAAGCTATAAATATAAAGCGAGATAAATCACAAATCTATCATGTGTTATCTTCAAAAGGCAATGTACAAAATAAAAAAATCAAATTAGTCTTATAGCAAAGCTTGCACAACTTTATCCCTCAGGGTCAATGATAAAGAAAAATCCTGGGAAAGTTTTTAACATTCAAATTACCATACATAGAGAATCAAAGTTGATAAATAAATCTCAGTACATACAGAAAAAAAACTTTATTCTTCTTTTTTGTACAAGTAACTGAACTACCGAAAGCCATCAGCCGGTGGTGGGTCCAAATATATTGTATTTGCTAAAGGAGACACAAACCGAATCACTGAGGATGGCAAATTCCCTAAATGGCCAAACTTCTATATTAAAACTGTACAAATGTTAATAAATAATGTCCAGCAAGCAATGTTACTCATTTTGTTCGTATAATTCAGTGATTCCCAAAGTGGTCCCTACGGACCCCCAGTAGTCCCCGGTATCATTCAGGGGGTCCGTGAAAAATTAAAATTGATTTGGGGGGGGGGGTCTATGAACATCGTCAGGGTGTCCTTGCAAGGTTTGATATAAAATAATGAAAATGATTTGCGACACAATTTAATTAACTTAAGAAATGACATAGCCTATATGTCTGATTTATTTGCCAAATTTAACAAAACTAATTTGAAACTACAAGGTGACCAATTAAATTCAATCAAAACTGAAAGAGTAATATCTGCGTTTGTTGCAAAACTTTTTCTTTACAAACAAATCTTGGGATTCAGTTTCCAAATCTTTCGAAATGGCAAATTAGAGATGAAGATTTGCTTCCTTACAGCCAACACATAACGGCTCTTCATTCAGACCTGAACCAAAGATTTGAAGATATTCTTCACTAGGACATTCCCGACTGGGTGTTGAACCCTTTTGCGCGTGGACAAACTCAGAACATAATACAGGAGCAGCTTATTGAAATATCCACAAATGAGGAACTGAAACCAATGTTTGAACAAGGATACCACAAATTCTGGTTACAAAAACAAATCTCAATTTTATATCCTGCATTATGGGTTAATGTACAGAAATTGTTGACAGCTTTTCTGCCTTCCTATTTGGTAGAACGTAGATTCAGTGCCGTTATGAACCTCATCACAAAAGAAAGAAACCGATTAGAAATTATACACTCATAACATCTCGCATTTATAATTTATAATTTCAAAAATACTTCTTCAACAAATCTTTTTTTTTTTAATTTGTAATTTTTATATTATGCATTTATGTGGCTTTTTCACTTGGGGGTCCGTGTGTAATTTTTGACTATAAAAAGGGGTCCATGGGTCAAAAAAGTTTGGGAACCACTGATATAATTGAAGGGTGTTAGCTCCATATTGAGAGTGGGTACGAGTATGTGTCTCCATTCCAGTTTTTGGAAGAAACTAATGCTCTTCCCTAAATAAAAGTAATTCCTGCCATACACGAAGGCTTAACATCCGACTAACAACAGGTTTCATGGACAAGAAGGGGCTTAAACCACTTCACAATATTTTCTTTCGCGTTATTTTCAATTACAAAGCTGTGAACTATGATGGAATTTGAACACAGAACCACTAGCATGGCCAATTCAAGTTGGATGCCTTAACCACTCAGTTTCTTTTGAGTGTAAAATTAAGTGTATTTATTAGCGTGAATGTGAAGTATGAGAAGGCTGATGGCAGAATATATACCATGAACCCTCAATTAGATTTGTTGTATAGTTTGTGAATAGAGTGATGGAGGAACATCGATTCTACATATTCCCCTTGATAACATGTACAGGTGTATGTGGGGAAAAAAGTATTAAGGAACTAAACATATTAATACATGTCTAGGTTAAAAACTACCCTTGCGGGTTGAAATGGTCAACCAGTTGATTCAGAATGAAACTTGGTGGGTAGGATGGACATGTCCGAGATCTAATTTCTAATAAAACTGTAATAATAAAAATTTGAAAACTGCTTCTAAACTTTGTGAATATGTCAACATCGGCAATTTTACCATGGAAATGAGTATTTTGGTCCCCATTCGTTCTCATGGCGTTCTCTTCCACTCGCCATCATCTCACTTTTCCATTTAATTGAGATTAAATATATATTAAATAGATTAATTGATTTATTATCATGAGAGTTCTGATGGCGGAATATTGAGTACCCTATAAACCAAATCAGACGTATATTTTCTGTAAAAATTAACGGAGGATTATCAAATATTACGATGTATTAAGTATGACGATAACCCAGATCGTAACTTCAGTGTGCAAGACAAATAAGACTCAGGTCTGAACCCAGACTGCCAACAACCCCGGAATGGTGTCTAAGTATAAGTGTATAAGTCTAGAAGTATAATTTCCGATAAAACTGTAAATAAAAATATCTTGGTCCTCTGTTCCAACTTTTCCAAGAAACAGGGCTGTTTTACTGAATATAATGCTTTAAAGTTTCTCAACAGAACCCTGAATGATTATTCAGAAATTGTGACACGCGGTCTGGTGTGATATAGGTTTCAGAAAAACATTTTCTTTATCATGCCACCTATGATTGAATATAAAAAATATATTTTTTGCATTGTATAAATTCACTTTTTTCCACATCCTACATGTATTTGTTAAATTTAAACAATGCTTGTAAATCCCAGGCCCTGAAGATGATCTCAATAAAGATCGAAACGGCACGATAAAGAAAATGTTTTTCTAAAACCTACATCACACCAGACTGCATCTCATGATTTCTGAATAATCATCGGCTAACGGTCACTAATCACCACACATTTCTATACGAGAACCCTGAATCTTAGGGGCGTCGGTGGCCGCAACGGTTTAGGCGTTGACACAGCACTCATCACTGTAAGGTAAAGGTCCTGGGTTCGAATCCAGCGGCCCTGCATTCTAACCCGACATACTTACAAATGGGCTTTTTTTCAAAAACACCGGCACCCTGAGGGTTGATATAACCTCTGCTGTTGCGAACCCTTGTAAAATAAAAATTTAAAAAAACCCTGAATCTTCATCATGAAAAGTTGGGAACTAAAAATTATTAAACTGATGGAACACATTTGCATTTTTCTTGCCTGTTTTCCTATATTTTTTTTTCCATTTTGTATTATGGGTCATTTATTATGTGATTTGAACCTTTGGCCATGTTTCATTCATGTGAAATCCAGAAGACTAATTTCCTATAAAACTTTAAAAACAAGGTCCATGGTACCAGTGGTTATTCTTGGCTCATAGACAACTGTACTATTAAAAAATCATAACAAGTGATGTGATACCAATTTGTATTATATTGTTATTAAAACGGACAATTTGGACCATATTTTGGAGAATATTTTTGTTAGAAGCATACAATTGCGCAAAACCATCAAATATATTGTATTTGAAAAAGTAAAACCCACTATTAAAGTTGGCTGAATGCCGAAACTTATCAAGCGAGAATAGTCGGAACAGATTGATCAAGGCGCAAGTCTCAAAACGCCACACAGTCCATATTTGAAAATGTCCCCATTCCCATTATAATAATTAAATCCATGGGATTTTATCAATATTAATAAATTCAACTCAATACAATTGAACCTTTAATACCACCAGTTGCAAGTATAAAAAAGATAACTGCACTTTAGAAAAAAATGGTATAAATAGTTTTTTGTTCATTTCCACTCATCCTGAATACAAAATTAAATAACACGAATTTTGTGAAAACCTGGAATCCGGTTTATCAACTCATTGGTCGATTTATAAATTATTTCAACAAATTATAAATATTGAAATATTCACATTGAAACTTGAATTATACCATGAATTCCTTTAAAATCTTGGTTTTACCATGGAATGTAAAGCTTCTTTAATTAATTTCTTGTCAACAATGAGTTTTATGATGTGAACTGTTGCTTAAAATTTGGCAAAAATTAGGATATAAAAATATTTCAAATGAATCTCTGACACATCGATTGTACTTTAAAATTACAGCTTTCTTTGAAATGAATTTGAATTAAATATTCATCATAAATTGCTTAGGATTTAAAAGAAAAGCATGTCTTTTTATTGAATGAATAAAGCCATGTGTAACGCAGAACCAAGCCTCCTATCAATACAACACTAAAGTTGGAAATGTCATCGATAATGTTGATGTCTTCATGTTGAAACATAATTGAATTATATCATGAATTATTTGACTAGCTTATCCATAAAAATCTTGGTTTTATCATGGAATATAAAGCTTCTTTAATTAATTTCTTGTCAACAATGAGTTTTACGTTGTGAACTGTTGCTTAAAATTTAGAAAAATCATGATATAGAGTACATCAATTGGATCTCTGATGTATTTTAAGTTTCCAGTTTTCATTACAACGAATTTTTATTTTATATTCATCATCAGATCACTTAGGATTTAAAAGAAAACCATGCCTTTTTATCCAATTAATGCAATCTGTAAGAACAATTTATTGTCTATCTTAATATTAATATATTACCTGTAGTATTAAAAAAACTAAAAAGGAGTCTGTTACAGATAACAATTAAAAATAAATATTTAAACAAAAAAACAAATAGGTATGATAAAAAAACAAAGCATAAATGAAATAACCATTAAATTGGGGAAACCTCAGAACCATGCCTCTTATCAATGGAAGTAGAGTTGGAAATTTCATCAATAAAGTTGGAAAGTTTTCCAACAAAAACAAAACGATCTCTTCGTTGTCAATGAGCTTAATTTAAAAAAAAAAGAACTTTCTTCCAATTCTTTAAAAATATACCGAACGTCGAATTGATTTATGTTTAGTCAGCCATGAGTTGCTGTGGGAACAAATTATGAAAACAAATGCTCAAAAAGTTTTACAGTTTACAATTGCATTTATAGAGACAATTTATTTATAAATTAGGATAGTTTCAAAAAGAGAACAGCCAGTGTTTTGAGCTTGTCAAAGGGGTCATGTCAAAATTATGAAATATTGACAAAAAAAAATGAGCGAAGACATCAGCCCTGAGTTAATTAAAAAGACTCAGAATTCACTTGCCAAATATGTGAAAGAGTCGCTGCTCAATGAGAAATATTTGAGAAAACCACCTTTCAAATATCTTCAGGACATTATTAAAAATGTAAGCAATACATGGCACATATTAGAAACTGCACGGTTTAACTTGAATTTTTCTTTTATCGCCCAGGTAATTAAAGAGACTGGGTTCCTGAAAGATGTCTTTGCACAAGATGAACTTGTCGACTACGGCAAGGACAAGGAGAGGAAGATAGCATTTCTCAAGAAACTGATTGGAGCAGTTCGTAAGTCTGCTGTGGCAAATGCATTCTCTTAAGATTTTTTAAATTTAAGCAAAAATTCTAAAATCACAATTGATATAGTTTATATTATTATATAAATTTTTAATTATAGGATAAATTGGTTTTTCAGGCACATTTAGTTTCCATTTTCCTTAACAGTATCGTTCACCTGAGTTACTTGTGTATATTACACTACAGTTGTGGATTTTATGGCTCTTGGCAAAAAAATCACCTTGAAAAATTGCCCAATAAAAATTTAATGTTAGTGAATGTTCAAAATCATTCAAACGTAGATATAACAGATTTAAATGAAAAACCCTGTGAACCTCCACATTTAACAAACTTATACTTTAATAGAAATAATTGGGGTTAGGTGAGTAATTTCATTATTTAATGTATTCTTCCGAAAGGAGGGCTTATATGACCTCTTCTGTTGTGAATCCTCTTAAAAAAAAAAAAAATCTTTTATATATATTGAAATATTTAATTGCTCAGGTGTTTTCTTGATTTGGCTCAAGATTCAATTGACTCTCTGGTTTGCTGTAGAAGCTAAAACATAAGCATGCCTGCTCTGTCAGAAGGAACCAGAGACATCATCACATATACTTTGTGAATGTAAGGGCTTTATTCATTTCACATACAATTTAATACTTAAATCCTGACAGAGTGGTTCTGCTGCATCTTTTAGGGAACTGCTTTCTCTTCTTATATTCACATTAAGCAGGTGTCCACCAGGGCAGCATCTTAAGGCTCTTCCTACTCACAATATACACAGCTGACATTCCCTAAAAATATATGCCCTTTTTGCTGATGACACAGCCATACTGTCATATAATTTTGCTCCATCCTAGCTAGTCATAATATCCAACTCTATTTAAACTTATCTTATTTTCGCAAATTGAGAATTAAAATTAACAAAGTCAACAACATGAAACGCCCAGATATGTACTACAACATCAGGTGATTTTGACCCAACTCTGTTTTTAAGTGCAATGAGTCATATTTTTCAACATTTTTGGGAAATATGAAGACCTTTTTTTTTACAGTTCTTATTTTTATTAACCTTGTAGGATACAAAACTCCCTTTTTTTTTTTTTTTTTTTTTTTTTTCAAAATGGTTTAAAACATATTGTAATCACAATAAAGACAGTCTAGCAAGGAAAAACTCGAAGATTTTGGGAAATCTTTCTTTGTAAAAATTTAACTTCGAGTTTTTGATATTATCTACAAAACTACAATCACACTTCTTCGTAAAGTCCACATTAAATTCTTATAAAATTAAAATGAAAAAGGTAACTTCGCAAAAATGGAACAGAGTTCACAAGGAATAAAAATGACATACATACTCCGAAAAACGGAAAACAAAGAAGGAAGATAAATCTATTTTTGGACATCACTGCTTGAAAAATCAATGGTCTAAATAGACGACAAAATATGTCTGAGACATTCAGGTTCAAATCCATCATAATGCCACTGAAAAATAAAAGGCCCAGCTAAGCTTTCACTTCAAGACCAACTGTGGGTCCAATATAGCGCTGGTCAGGACTGTATTGAGTTTTTATTTATCAATATCTTCATTGGTATATTTTACAGTGACATCAATCATGGCTTGGTTGATGAATAAGGATTACAATGGATTCCGAGCATTTCGTTTGGCACCAGGCAAATGGGTAATCATATTCTTTGAAGCTAATCTGACATTTCTGGATTGTAAAAGATCAGTATCAGTCCAGATAGTTTCGCCATCTTTCCCCAACACAAAGTTTCTGCTTTGTTCTCTATCTTCGGAACCTAAATTTGAAAAATTTTCTGGGTTAAAGCAGTCCTCTGAGAGCACATCGTCTTCAGGAAGAATGTCGAAAGCATCAGGTTTATCATTGTCATTTGGTAACAAATCATTTTCATCTTCACTGTAAGTTCTGAAAAGAATTCCTCATTTTCATTATCACTGATCTTATTTCACGTCGAATTTCTTCGTCAGTTACAAAATGTGAACTATTTGCCATGGCTGAAACAATCCAGAAAGATTACAAAGAAAAGCATCGAGAAAACTAATTAAATTTATAGAAAAGAAATTAAATTTGAACTAAAACTGAAAGAACATGTCGTACAACGTGGGGTCATATTGACCCATACCATGACTTTTCTTACTTTATTCAATATTACAAGGTCACTTACATGTAAAAAGGGTTCCAGTGGCGTCCACGTCTACAGGAAGACTAGAAGGAAAGCTACTCAAAGCCTCAACCCCTTCCGATCACTACCCTCTGACACACGCGCGTTTTTGAAATTTTTGGGTCATTTTGACCCGTACACTGTAGAACAAAGGTTTAATCCACCCATATGACCTTTACTCTTCCGAAAATGTTGGGAGGTGATGCAGAATACAATTCCTTCCTCTACTGACCTGAACAGATCTAATGTGGAACCCGTTTAGCTTATAGCCATAGAGAAGTCCATTATTCCTTATAAAACTAAACACTTTCCTTGGTGCCTCTTTGTAGATATCCTTGTGTGATGAAATCTTACTAAAGTAGCTGTACTGTAAACAAGCTAACATAATACATTCACAAAGTACATGACTGATGTCTCTGGTCCCTCCTGACAGAGCAGGCATGCTTCTGTCTTAGCTTTGCCCATCTTCTTAAGATGATAGTTAAGAGGTCTGTGGCCAGTACAGAGGCCTATAATTGTCTTCCATTTTGAGATGTTCATAAATCTATCTTGCCTCATACCTGCAGTGTTTGTCCAGTGAGCTTTTCTTTCTCAATCCATATTTCCAGTTCCAATTTAAGTACACACTCTGGAGAACTTAGTTGTGGTTCTGGTCCCATGGGTGAGAGGGTTGCTCCTTTTTTTGCTGGTTAGTTAGCCTCTTCATTTCTTTCTATGCCTTAATGTCCGGGAACCCACTTGAATGTAATTTTGTTTTGCTTTCCCAGTCATTGAGTTTAGACACTCCCAGACAAGTTTGGAGTTGAAAGCATACACATTTAGTGCCTTTATAGCTGCCTGGCTGTCTGAGACTATGTATATCTCTGTACCTTTCATATTTTTCTTTATTAATTCATGTGCACATAGTTGTATTTCATGGACTTTAACTTGGAAAATTGTTGGGGTTAGCCCAAGGAGCTTTGCAAGGTGTATGGCCCTTTTACTATGCATATGCCTACTCCCTGTTCCATCTTGAATCCATCTGTGTGCCATATTAGGGCCTCATCTTGAAACTTGGAGCCTCATTTTCTTCCGAATGTTGCTATTGTCTATGTCCACTTGGAAGGGTTTGTCAAAGTTGAGGAAAATTCACTTGCCCTACTGTCTCTTTCAATGAAAACCTATTCCAACCTCAGATACAATGAGCTACCTCTTAAAAAAAACTAATGTGGAATCCCCATACATAACTGAAAAGACAGGAAACTAACCTCACCACCTAATTGACCATAGATCTAATTTGCACCTCCCTTTTTACAAGACCCTCCTGATACCAAATAGAAATATGGAATTGATGTTTGGTGATTAACAAAAAATCCAATCCATACCATTATATTAAAATATTAAGCTCTCCTTAAAAAGAACCATCCACAATGACTGCCACATTCCATTTGTAATTGACATTAATAAATCCTGGTAGAAAAACTTCCACTAAAATTTAGACCATCCCAATTTACTTGTCCAACAGCTTTCTTGAACCACCGCTCTTGGAAATCTTTCATGTCGGAAACAGCTGTGGCTAATAGATCTCTTGAGAGATTGATTTACTTAATGTGAGTGAGTATCAATGCTGGATGACTTCCTTCATCATGTGTAACACGCTAGATTTTCATTGTGTCATTTATCTCATTTGCTTGTTATGACTAAAAATCATAGTTGAAAAAATCATATTTGTAATATAGTTATCGAACACAAGTCAATCTTAAACAAGTCAAAGCCCACTTCTAGTTTTGTCTAATATTTAAGTTTGTTGCTAATTAAAAATTCATATTAAGTTCTTGTGAAATAATTCTGAAGTTATCACTTCAAACAAATCAAGCATAACTGTTTAAAAATATATTCTTCTTTATAGCTTATACTTTGTTTTATCGTTAAACTTTTTTTAAATTTACTTATTATTTGTATTTTGTCCATTGTTGAATGTAGTGATAATGGAAGACATATACAAGTCAGGCTAATCAACTGAAATATGTGCAAATCAATTTTAAACATGGTCAGCAGTTGACCAGTAGAAAGAAAATGTAAATCTTTTCCACAGAAAATTTGTTTTTTACTGCATGGACCGAGAAAACTCAGCTCTTCAAAGCGAAATAAAAATAAATCTTTGTACAACCCCATACAACACACTTATTATTAAATTAAATTCATTCTTTTTTTTAAGTTAAAGGCCACCAAAGTCCTTCATGTCATGTTTGTTTCAACCACCCACAGTAGCAAAAAAATTAATATGTTGTGTATTTATGATAATTTCATGTAAAAACATTTGAAAATTATATATTTTTTGCATTGCATTTCTCCACGGATAAATAATTTTTTTTTTTTAAATAGATGAAACAACTGGCGATACAATAAGTGCAAGGCCCAATAAAATTATAGCAGGACTTGATGTGCCCAAAACATTGGAACTTTTACAAGAATTGGGAAAAGCGATCAATTTGAAGGTTTGATCCTTTATTAAACTAAAATCAAATAAACATTTTAGTACTTTACACCCTATTTTAATTTAGGAGAATGGCGTTAAAAAAACGAGTTTACCAAAGCGTGATGAATCCAAAGAAAAAAAGAAAAGGGATACTTCCGCGACAAAAGAACCTGTCAAAAAGCCCAAGAGTAAGCCTGATGCTGTAAAATCAGATGAAAATGTGAAAGAAAAGACGAAAAAGAAGGTTAAACCAGATTCAAAAGAAAGCGACACAAAAGAGAGAAAAAAGCGGGAAAAGCCAGAGAGGGATTCGAGCAAAGATGCCAAAAAGGCTGAGGAGAAGAAAAAGGAGAAAAAGTCGAGCGCAGAAGGCCATCAAGAAAAAAAAAGTAAGGATCCATCCCTAAGTAAACAAAGTTCTCTTGACGAAAACAAAGAAAATTCTTCGAGTAGAAAAGGAAGCGGACAGAAATTAAAATCTCCTAAGGAGCCAAAGGAAGAAAAATTAGAAAATATACCAGAAGGAAATATCAGTAATGATGATGAGCTTGTACCATCACGGTAAGCTAATGTTTGTTTAATAATTATTTATCTAATAATTATTAATTATCCTTTTAAGAAGTAAAAATTCTGAAGTAAACGAGGAAGAAGAGCCTAAAGAAAATTTGCAAACAGAGAGTAAAGATAATGTAGAAAAGGACAAAGTAGAAAGCAAAGATAAATTACAAACAGACGGCACTACAAGAAAAGATGATGAATCTGCTCCAAAGACTGCAAAAGAGCGCAAGACAAGCAGTCGAAAGTCATCTGCTAAGCCAAGTGAGTAAACAACTTTTCAATATTATCTAAAATAAGATCAAATAATATTTTCCCAGAGCTCGAGAAAGTGGAAAAACCTGAAAAAGCTTCTGAAAAGCCTAAGGAAGTAGAAGTTCCTTTGCTGGGGGCCCCTGATAGTCCAGTTACAGTTCCAAAATTGTAAGTCTGAAAATCCGTTGTAATGTTTTTATAATTATTAATCAATGAATATTTAGGGAAAGACCAAAGACAGCCAGAAAAGCTCCACCAAGTGCAAGAACAGGCGCACCAAAACCAAGAGATAGGGGTGAAGTTCAAAACGATTTAAATGTGTAATTATTTTTTTACTATTTGCTCATTGTAATAAAGTTTTTATCATTAATCATTTTTCTTTTTTTTAGAAGTTCTTCCGATCTAGAACCAAAACTGGTACCTGTTATTATTGAGACTGACAACAAAGATGACGACAAAGAAAATTTAGTTGTCCTCGAAACACAACCTCTTTCCATGGACAATGATATTCAGGTTTTTAAATTTTATTTTTAAATATTATAATTGATTATTAATTTTCGTTTTTTTTTTAAATAATTAGAGTGGTATTATTATGCCTGACATGGAGGATGAAAACTTAGGTGAAAATGAAGGCGTTCTTGTTGCACAAATATTAGAAACAAAGAAAGAACTAGACGAGAGTAAACAATTATGGGCGCCAAGCACCAACAAAGTTGAAATTGTATGTTTTATAAATATTAAACAATTTATTTTTTGTGTGTTTGTGTTGATGAAGCTTTTATAAACCAAGGAATGGGAAGGCGGTAAAAAGCAAAAAAGGGAGGCAGTTATAAAAGAAGTCAATAAAATGAAAGAAGGTATACAGCAGTTAACTAGAGCGACGAACCCTCTGGGAAAACTTTTCGACTTTCTTCAGGAAGATGTGGACTCGATGCAGAGAGAACTGAAACTTTGGATGGATACTAATGCAAATTACTCAAAACAGCTAAAAGACGAACAAAGGTAAGGATAAATTTTGCTTATTTTCGAATTTACTATGCAATCAGGTCAAATTTCCCAATTGGTTTGGGAAAAACAACTGTTTCTGCAAGATGATGTCTATTTTGAAAGTGACTAAGTTACAAAATTCTCAGTTCTGATTTTAAAAATAGATCAATATTGGACGCAGTGGATAAGGTCGTAATGAGGCCGACTCTTTTTAACCTTGTATATTTTTTACCTATTTTTTTATTCTTTATCTCACGAACTTTTTCAGGTTGTCAGAAAGCTCATTGGAAACATACAAACGCCAGTTGGCTGAGCTCGACAGTCTTATCGAACAGGAACAAGAAGCTGTCAGAAATTTAAAAGCGACAATTTTATCCAACGACAAAAAAATAATTAACATCGTCACTCGGGTTCCGTAAAATTATTTCTGGCATTGCCTCCGTATCTGTTTTAAAACTTTCTCATCTCAGGATTTACAGACTACTTTGCAGGTTGTTGTAGGAAAAACTTAACATTTAAACTGTGTTTGCATTCAAGCACAATTCAAGTGCCTCGATTAATTAATCATCAGTGCCTTTATAAAAATGTAAATAAAAATAACCACTGTAATTTGACCTAATTAAATTATTAATCAAAATATTTGTAAAATGTACTATTGATATATATACAAATAAATACTGTGCCTTGTAGTTGTATTTATTAAAAACTAGATTTATTTTTTAATATTTTTAAATGTACTACTGTAATAAACATAAGGGATTGTGGTTAGCATTTGACTTGTATTTGCCATTCTAGGGGTTCAGGGTTCGAATCCCCAGTCCAAGGCATTATGAAAAAATATTGTAAAGTAGTTTTACACCTTGTCCTCGACACCTAATGGGTAATTGTACACTAAGCCCTCCTGTACTTTACTATAATATATATAGTATCAACAAACAGCTGAGATCATCCGGCCCTTTGCAAGTTTGTACTTCTTTTTGGGGTCTTTCACAGGTCTTTTTCAGCCTGCAGCCATTTGAGCGCCTAGATATGTTACTGGCCCTCTGCTTTTGTATGAAAACTAAGTCAATATCCTAAAATGCTAACCTCAGGTTTTCGGTTTTCATTTGTACCTCAGGTTTTCAGCTACATAATAGACACTAAACATACGATACATGTACAACACCACCCTATACAAACATAGAAGTCTCACATTCACTAATATCATACTATTCATGGTATGGTATGGTAGAAAAGGATACTAGGAAGCGGGGTTTGCGCTCCCCAGGCACTGTAGCTTTCTGGCTTATTGTACCTTCCTAGTTCCTTAGTTCAGTGCATTAGATAATCCTTCTTCTTAGAAGTATCAGGTCATTGACTATCTCGCTGCTACAATTTCATTCCCTACGTTTTTTGTATGTTAGGTTGAATCTCCATTGAGCTGTTGCTTCGCAGTCAAAGATGATATGGGTGGCTGTTTCCTCCTCCTCATTATATAATCTGCAGATGGGATCCTCGTTGTATATTTCGATGTTGCGTAATGTTTTCTCAGATGCCAGTGACCAGTTAGTAGTCCTACGCTAGAGTTTATCCACTTCTCCTTTTGTTTTGCTTGGATCCATTCTGCAATGGAGGATTCTATATTTGTTTTTGTTATCCCAAGAATAAGTTCGGGGCCTATGTATGGTCTTGCAGATCCTCCTCTGGCCAGTCTGTCTGCTTTCTCATTACCAAAAATTCCCCTGTGCCCTGGCACCCAAGATATCATCAGGTTGTTGTTTCCTCCAGGTTTTGGATGCGTTCACTAAATAATTTTGATGTGATTCTTTTACATGCTAATGCTTTAATGGCTGCTTGGCTATCTGATCTTGAGGATTTTTTGTCCATGTAACCTCTTTTAAGATTTTCCAGGGCACGAGCATTGATGGCATGTATTTCTGCTTGAAAGACCGAAGTGTGCTTCCCTGATGAGTTTGATTGCTCATGTTTTGGGCTTGTACAGAAAACGCCCGATCCGGTTCCTTCGTTTGTTTTGGAGCCATCTGTGTACCATATCATTGTATCTGATGTTCTGCTGTGTTCTTCCTCATAATATTCATACTCCTCATAATATAAAAATATTCCTCAGGTCAGGGTTGAATTCACACCACTCCTGCTAAGAACTTAACTTTTACTGTCCAGTCATCTCACACTCACCCCAGAGTACTTGATATTCCTCGGGGTAGAATTAAACAACCACACTAATAAATTACATTAATTCCGATAAATTAACAAATATAAATATTTAAAATCCTGGTACCAGAACAGCGCTCTGTGCCTGCTGGCCAAGACAACGCACAAATTCAACAATATTAAAATATTGCCTTCAAACGTCATCTTCTGCAATTAAAATTTGTTTCTGTTATTTTATTTTTGCATGAATAAAATTGCTTTCTGACCAGAAGGGTGCCAGTGGGTTATTTTTTAATGACTTATGCACACTCTTGTCAGTGTGGCTTTTTCCCTTTTCAACCTGTTCTCCACAGACAAGGAGCCGATGTTTTTCTTAACTTGCCACAGTTTGGCAGTTTTTTATCTTTATTTTTACGAGCCCAGCCGTTTTTCCATTCGGCTGTTACTGTATTTGAAATTAATAGTTTTAAATCCACTAGGCAGGTTGAGAATTTAGTTGAAGAAATACTGTAATGAATATAAGTTATAACTAAATGATATCTAAGGATAAAGTAATAATATACAAACATTAGGCATATAAAAAAAAATGTATTTAACAAATTGCTCAGGAAGCCTCCATAGGCAAACTGGCTATATTTTTCCTACAATTTTCTTAACAATTTGAATGTTTTTAAATATTTAAATTATTTCTCAGTATTAAACAAAACCAAATATAATTTGAACAAAATAAATTTCAACGTTAAGGTACACATCACTTTATTTAATTTAGTAAATACCTACACCACAAATATACATTGTCCAGCTTGTATCGTGGATTTATATAGGTCAAAAATATATTTAAATTGCATAAAAAATGTAAAAGACACATGCGAACATTTTGGTACCACAATGGACAACAATAGAACATGTAACACGGTTTCAACTATGTGCTAGGTTTGATATGGTTTCCTCTTATACTAAACACTTATTAAAATGAAAAGATGTTCACCCGCATACAATGAGAAATTATTAAATTTGGTAAATAAAAATTTAAAAAAATATTGAGATATGTAAAAGGAAATCAGTCAATAATAATACTTGGTAGGCCAAGTCTAACTCCAACTTTTCTAATCCTTCCGACTAATCAGTGCAAAAATAAGTGGTTTCTTTTCTATTTTTTTTTTTTTTTCATCTATCTGAATTCATCAAAGGCTGCATTAGAATATACTAAGATGAGTAAAAAAAATTATTTTCTTTTTCCTGATTAGTCTTGGCAAATTATAAAGCCAACCTCTGATTTTTCTTCATATATCTTTCTCAGCATCATGTAGGTACTGTACAATTTTTTCATCACAGTTAGAAACATTATGTACATTCTTCGAAGGAGACACTAATATTGTCATGAGGTTTTTCTTTGTTAAACAAGCTACCAAAGACAAATATGAACCTGAATGAGCTAACAGAACAAAAGAATCCGAGCTAACAAAAAGAACTAGTAACGTATAACTTTCAGCTATGATTTATAAATAAAATATCTTTTATAAATAATAGAAATATATACACTAAACAAAACTATTTACACATTTAGCACAAAATTATAATAGCCCAAGCAAGCAAATATGTGATATATTGGGTTGTGCTATTGATATTTTAAGGTTAAATAAAATTATTTACATTTTGTTTTTGTAAGAAGTTCTTTTGTGTCTGTACCTGTGAATGTGTGTATAATGAAAATAGAAAATATCAAGATAAAGACAAGGGATTTCGCTACAATTCAAACAGCTCGTCTTGTTCCTTTTCTAAGCGTTCGAGGGAGTTGCGAACTTTTCTACCTTGTGTCATCACAGTCGGCAGATCGGTGCCATTGCTGGTGGACTGTTTCGAATAAATCGAATTAGGATGTCTGTTTATTTCCTGATAACTCTGTTGTTGTTGCATCTCTTGTTTCTGTTTCAATCGCGAAACGGCACCTTTCCTTTTCCAAAATATCGAGTCATGTTCGATAAACCTAAACATAGAAAATGAACATATTTGAAAATAAACAACTGCCAATTTACACAGAAACAAAAAATAAAGGTCATACTTGTTTGTAAACTATACATATAAAAATACATTTTATTTTATTATATTTAAATGGTGTTAACATTACTGACATTGTTAAATATATGGAAAGTTTATATGGTTAGTACAGATTAAAATAGTAAATATTGTATTATTGATAGCAATAGATAACTAAACAAGAGAGAATATTTTTCTAAATTATTACAGATAAGATAAAGATTTGTATACGTGTAAATTGGTTGGTAAGAGAGATTAAGAAAAACTTGAAATAATTCTCACTCGCTGTTATCTTGGGCCACCATAACTTGGCTTTTTGTCGTTGCAATAGCACAGTCTATTTTGACTAGGAAATCATTGTAACTATGTTCTTCCTCGGGGATTTGGTGATGGTGGTTGTTGTTGTTATTGTTTGGTAGTACATCGTCTGCTTCAAGAAGCACCACTTCACTCGGCGAAGCAGCTTTGTCACCGGTCACTGGGATTAAAAGTGATTTTCGGAGGAACAGGCTGTCGTTCGCCCATAACCGGTTCGCCCTTCTTATCTGCTCTGTCTGAAAATACAAAATCAAATTGTCAGTCATCGCTGTATTATAAAATAAAAGCTTAATAAAAAAAAATTCTAATTAGAAGTTAAGAGGATAAATACAAATACTTTCAAATAAAGTATCACATGCTTCAAGAAATTGTGGTTTCATAATATAACACTGTTATTACGTTATTTACTAACAACATTATTCATAAAGTAAAAGTAAAGTAATAAGCCCTTGGGTGTCACGGACAGGGGGTCAAGCCACTTTACACAACTTCTCCATATTACATAAAATTAAAAATCCTCTGGCTTTTTTCCAGGGAGTCAGATGCCATAACCATTTGGCCACTGTGGTCCCCATAACATTATGCATAGTCTTAAGGTAGCTCCAGATATGCAGGATTCGCCAAATGCTGAGCAAAGGTTCCTGGGCGCTCGGTTTTTCGCCAGGTATTAATATTCACTGCTCACCTTGCTCAGCTAATCGTCGGTTTTCTTGTTTGCTTCAAAGTGAACGAATATTCGTGAAGAAGCCGAATTCAAAGCTTCCACTTCGTAACTATTATAGACATTGAAAGAACAACAGTATCTTAACACTCTTGGAACACCTCGATCTACACCAAGCAGAACCAAAAATTTAAAACATTTCTCTTCTGAATCACAAAAAGAAAAGAATGAGGTTTCAGTTGCATGAAAACAGATCAAAAGTAAGATAGGGCAACAGTACTCTGTGACTGATTCGTGATTGAGTTTGTAGCCACTACGCAACCACAGCTGAATGACAATTTCACTATTGTCCATCACAATTGGTGAGGACTCGCACGGCACTTGGCAAATATGTATTTGCTGTATCCGCACAAACTGGGTGATTGTTGTGTGTGCATGCATAGGCATTCTATTTGGTAAATGCTAAGATGAGCATCTTGAGACTGGGCAAATCTTCAGTGGCAATCGGCCTTGGGTGAATAAAGGCATGTCTGAAGCCACCTTTAGACCATTCCAAAGCTTTCAACTTGGTTGACCATTATCCTTTACTTTGCTAGGTGGAAAATGTTGGAATTCAGGGTGTTGCTAATGATCTTTTGCTTATCTGCAGGATTGCTACCAGAAAATAAAATTCAGTGAGGAACTGTCTTCCAAGATCACAATCAAATATGGAGTACCACATGTTTCCATACTCAGCACTCTTTTATTTTTAATATATATTACTGATTTTGTACGCTAAGATGGACATTTTTATCTTTTTGCAGACAAAAGTTCCTTAATCATTGCGGGAAGTACATCCTATGAGTTATGGTTGAAAATTAAGCACACAATGGATAATGTCATGGCTTGGTTTTTGGAGAATGATCTTGATCTTAATGTAAAGAAAACAGTATCTCAGTTTTAGTGATTTCCTTGATTTGTCATTGACTGGCATCTTGGTAGATGGCGAGAGTCTACATTGAACCCAGTCTTACAAATTGTTGGGTGTTTTCTTGGCAGAAAATTAACACAGGAGGAAACTTTTCCAACTCCAACCTAAACTCGGCCGACTTTGTTTTGCAATAAATATGCTTAGGCGATTGACAAGTAAAGTGGTTTATACGAGCTGTTTCCAGCCAATTCTCAATTACGGACTGATTTTTTGGGGCAGTAGCTCATTCTTAATAAAATAAGCTTTGGGGTTTTGCCTACAATCACAATTAAAATAGAATCAGCATATGTGATTGAAACGACAAGACCTATACAGTTGCTAAGGTCTACTTTGCAAACGTTTTGGATGACAATCTAAGCTAATGGATCTACAAAATTGTAGAACAACCTATTTGGATGTAGAGTATAGAACTGCAAAGAACCTTCTAATGCCCATTGTTTCCAACCCTACAAAGTCCTTAGAACAATATTGTGTGGCCTAGCCAACAAGGTCTTGCACAAGGTGAGTTCTTGCCACCTGAGGTCACATACACAACCTCACCAGCAAGGATCAGATTGCACATACATCCTCATCCACCCCGAGTATAAGGCGGGCCTGTATTGAAGATCGTCAGACAAAGTCGGAAGCAGAATTAGATTGAGTAAGAACCTAAGTGAGAGTCAGGTGCAGTCCCCTGAATCTGGAGTCTGAGTTTGGAGGTTAGTCTTCCCGAGGAGTTCGTCAAGAGAAGAGGACCCTCCAGCAATCGTGATCCATCGCCTTCTACGTCCCAGTCGACACTTTCCTCCTCTACATGAAGAATGCTGGTCAATAATAAAGCAAAACCAGGGGGTGCCTGCCTCCTTAAACTGGAACATTTATTCAATTAAACCCTTTTTCCTGTTTAAAATTGTTTTACATCTTGAGGGAAATAACGCTGGATTTGTCTCCAATACTACTCTCCATGACTTTAAAATTTATCACATATCCAAAAATCAATTTCTAAAAAATTGACCTAGTCCCATAGTACATTCTCTCATCGCCCCAAATATTCATCAACCAAGCCTTGTTCAAAAAATCCACCCCAAATCCCAAAAAGCTTCTCATGCAGAAATAGCCCCATGACTTCCTTTCCGAGGAATCGTGATAAACCAGTAAAATGAAGTGTGGGAAAAAAACAATGATCGCATTCCTCAATGCAAATCAACTAAGTAAATATTTATAAATATATATAAGTATTCTTAATTACATGTAATTTTGAATTGCAGATAGTGATATATTACTTATAAATAAAAAATTCAATGTAGTAGGGCGAAATCACTCATAGATTTATACTACTATTATCTCAACTAAATTCATTTGGCAATCTACAAAAGTTATAACAAATATTAAATCAATCATGTCATTTTTATATGCGTGCAATTGAAGATGCCAAAATGCTGAAATGCAGGGAAAAACATTGAACATCCAGGTTGATCAAAAATGACCGAACTGCAGACCCACTGACCCAAAGAGGAAATCTTCTAAGTTCAGATTTCAATTTTTCTTTTACTGTTGATATATATTCAACAAGACATGTTCCATTACGACGAGAAAACTCAATGACTTCTAATTATAATATTATTTTATCCTGGGAATTTTTCCACTGGGAAAAATAACAGCACTCCATCAATAGTTGGGAATAACAGTTAATATTAGAGACCCTAACTATTTTCACATCCGTAATTTATGAAAATGGATTCTCAGATATTTATTTCTCAAAACAAATGTTCTATAATTAAGACAAATTTGTAGTTGTTTAATTTAATTTATATTACAAGCACAAAAATTTTTACTACACTTCAATTTCTTCTTTATTACTACTTCTCCCCCCCCCCCAGTTAATTTGAATGTTAGATAAAGATCAATTGATTCATACACTAATAAACTGCTTAAATAATAATAGAGGTGTGTCATGACTTACTTGGCTCCATACAGAGAGCGTGTAAGCATGCCGCCAAATTTAAGAATGGTTCTTGAGCACAGCAGTTTCTACGTTCCCTGTTTCAATTTTCAGAGGAAATAGGGATATTATACTGTATATAATTATATTCTAGGTGTCTTATCATTGTGTTTTGTTTGAATGTGCGTATTTATTAGTGTGAGTGATGAGGGATGATGGTGAAATATAGCATCATAATCGCCCCTCAGGAAGTGTGTGCTTAGGGTCGATGGCGGAATATTTATAAAAGTACCCCATCGACCCTAATTTAGATCAGAGTATTAGTACTGCGTATAGGTCGATGGAGGAATATCCAGAACTCCATCGACTAATCAGTATGCATGAATGCTTTTATATGAATGAATGTATTTATTTGTGCGACTGACTTATCCAATTTATGTAATATTAGGCTAGATTATAGTTTACATGCATCTGGGGCTGAAATGACCTAGCTGCCGATAGCCCCCGTCGTAGCCTAGCCTAAATTAAAGTTCCCGGGACATACTTACAAATGGGCTTTTTGTCAAAAACGCTGGCACCCTGAGGGTTCATGTAACCTCGTAGTTAAAAAAAAATTAATTAAATAAATTTAAAAAAATATTAATTAATAATAATGAAAAGTAATTTACTTTAGTTTTGTAATGAACACAAATTTCGATGGCGATGGTAGGATAGGTTTTTTTATACGTCTATTAATTTATGTTATGCATTACCATTAATTAAATTAAGTATTATTTAATTATTATTAATTTAAAATTATTAATTAAAAGTATTAAGTAATATTGAAACTGTGATTTAACTTCAGCGAATGTTCGGCTTTCTAAGAAATATTTGGAAATTAAGTTAATTATTTTCTGGAATTTGCCACTATTTCTATCATACACTGGAATTTAAAATATATTATGCTTTATAGTAAAACAATATATAAAAATTATTCGTGCAAAATTGTTTCATTATTTTATTTGTCTACTAGGGAATATTTTATATCTTAAACCACAAAAATGTAAATAGTTGTGAAATAGCTTGATATTTTTCTGCCAGCTCAACAAGTAAATCACAGAAACTGAAGAGTAAGTTAAATACAGAGGAGGAAAAATGTCAATAAATTCCTAATTCTACTGAACAAATCACCTTAATTAAATATTTTCAATTGTTAGCCATATAAAAATCCATCATTCATGGCCATAAGTGGTTCTTTGTGATGTTTTTAAATCTAACCAATGATTTCAATGACAAAAAATTAATTAGACCATGTTATGTCTATTTTGTTTGGTATGCATTATTAAATTAAGACATGGTTACGGCCGTTCGAATTGAACTAATCTAAACAGTTTTATCTGTGTCAATGAACCACGATTTGAACACATGATTGTTTAAAATTAGATAAGCCATATAAATAAACTAAATTTGTGGAACATGGCCATTGATTAAAATCCTCCTCTTATAAGATATTTATCAAGATTATAAATTTTATGCTAAATCAATATTATAATTGGAAAGCAGACCAGAAAAAATCATGAGATGTCGTTTTTGTGTGAATAATTAAGGGAAAAACTTAAAACTTACACACACACACCATTCATTCATTTATATAAGCTCAGCTCTGCAGATACATACACATACATACAGGACTGAGCTTATGACTTCCCCCTGGCAAACTGTGAGAAACTTCAGGTTTTGGCTCCCCATGGGCTGACAGGAGTTTGGTATTTTCAGCCCCAATGCATGCAGTTTTTAAATCTAGATACACTCACATTCTCATTCTTTTTTTAAATACATTCTTTTCTATTTTCATATCATTCAAGTTCATGTGTGTGGTGGAGTTCTTGATATTCTTCCATAACCTTTGCACATAGCTCATATAATTAAATGTTGAGGTGAGTGCCCAATATTGAGTAATATTCCATAATCAGTGCCCTCATAGTACACATTCACGCTAATAAGTACATTCAATCTCAGTAGACGCAAAAGTAAACTCAGAACACTGGAAAACCCTCCAGGTATGGGGCAAGCTAAGAGGCTGATAAATCTCTCAAAAATGAGGTAAAAGAACTTGCTCTCAGCAGCTTATTGAGAAGAATTATAGGCTTTTGGCCAGCCATTGCCCTCAAAATTATCATCTTAAGGTGGCTCCAGACATGAAGTATTCGCCGAATGCTGATTGCCGCTGAATATACACTAAGTCTCGAGATGCTCATCTTGGCATTTGCCAAATAACGCGCCTACAAATACATACATGCGAGGTATGTACAACGACCCAGTTTGTGTGGAAACAACAAATATTTGCCAAGTGCTGAGCAAATCCTCAATTTAGTACCAATCGTGATGGACAACAGTGAAACTGTTTTTTTTTTTTTTTTGGTTACAAATCAGTCACAGAGTGCTGTTGCCTCATCTTACTTCGATCCGTTTCCACACATTGAAAAACTCTTTCCGATTTTTGTGATTCAGAAGAGAAGCATTCTATATTATTGGTTCAGCTTGATTGAGGAAATCCAAGACTGTTGACTGTTATGTTGGGCCAATCCTTTCTTAACCAATAAACAATGCTGTGTTATTCTTTCATTAATACATCTATACTAGTTAGAAATCGTTTATTATCAAAAAAATAAATGGCAGTAAATAGAAATAAATAATTAATTTTACAATTGATTTATTGCACAGTACAGTTGATTCCCGAACATGTGAATGCAACTTCACGAATATTCATGTACTTTGAAGCGGACAAGAAAACCGACTGTTGGCCAAGCAAGGCGAGCACCGAATATTGTTGTTCGGCAAATAACCGAGCACCCGACCACACTAGTTGGGTTCGGCGAACCACTGCTCAGCATTTGGCGAATCCCACTTGTCTGGAGCCACCTTTAAGACGATAAACAAAGCTGAGACAGAAACATGCTGGTTCTGTCAGGAGGAAACAGAGACATTGGCACATATCCTTTGTGAATTGTTTACGGTAAAGCTACTTTGGTAGAACATTTCTCACACCAAAGGACATCCACTAAGAGGCACCAAGCTCAGTTTTACAAGGAATAGCGCACATTCCAAGGTATGACTATAAGCTATAGGGGTTCTATTATGTTTGTGTCCACTTGTTGAGGTTGTGAAGGAAATTTGTCTTCCTCATCAACCTCCAAAATCTTATTTTAAAAAATAATTAAAATAAATAAATACAAACGAGACACCTATCAGTACTATATACAATAAAACAGCTCTGTTTACTCCAAAAATTGAAAGAGGCCTAAATACTCGCTGCCAAGTTCATTTTATCGAGTGGCATTCCTTCATGGTCAAGAAATCCCTTCAATCAAGTGGTATACATAAATGAATCTTTCTCTACATGCCAGATAAATTTTTTGCAGGCTTTGGCCCAAAAGTAAGAGTCCATGTATGGACTTGCATGGCCTATTCTTAATTGGGTGAAGATGGCCCCTCTTCTACAAGTCAGTTGCTCCAAGGGCCACCTACTGACAGTCTTAATACGTAGATCTCTGCCGATCTGGCCCACTGAAGCTGCCGCTTTCTTTAAATCATGTTTTTACAGCATTTTCTTGGATCGTAGTAGTTAAGTAGTCCAGAGGTTGGGACTTAGCTCTTTCATAGAACCATTTACTGAAACTGCAATGCTTAGACATATCACCGACCCAACAACAATAATTTTTATCTTTTATCATTTTTTTTCACCCTTTTTCTCAATTTCTAATAGTTTCATAATATTTTATAAAAGATTGCCTTGTTGATTGCATTAGCAGCAGGAGGTAATTAATGCACGAGCAAGATGCACATTACTGGGCACAAGAGTTTAAAAAGTAAATGTGAAGATCGACTGAGCATGAATTGCTTTCACATTTTTTACATATGTAAAACCCATGTCCCAAATCAAATTGGTACTTTCTGCTCTCTTGGATTTTACAACTGAGTATTCTCCTGGCTATATCAATGATTTAAAACTAACCAAACAGTAATATAAAACTTTACTACCTGTTTTTCATATTAAGCGGATTAAGCTGAAGACCTTCATAGATTACGGATGTGATTAAAGGATAATCCTTCATAAAAGGTGCAAACACGGCAAGATATTTTTAATATGAGTTTTGACTGTATTTCTTTTATAAGTCTGAAAATTTTGGAGTAAACAACAAAAAGCACGCTAATCCTTGTGGGTAGTGAATGTTTTACTCGCTGGAGGTTGAATTTAAAAATAAGTTATGAAATTATATTGGGCAAAGTCTCAGATGCCAAAAAAAGGCCAGATAATTTTTATTTATAATCTTCTAAACTACCTCATTCTTGATTGTTCCTCATGACTCCAACAAATTATTTATTTATAATAAGTTCTCTCATATTTTAAGGTCTTGCATGTCCATGAAATTGTATTGATATTTCTATGCATTAATATTATTAATTGAAGTCATAATTTTATTTTTTTTCTTAGAGTAGATTATACGATAATTATAGTAAGATTATTATAAATATAAGTAATATGACAAATATGAATTTGAATTATAAAACTCAGTTAAAATTAAAAAATGTCTACTTGGAAAATATTAAACTGTCACAAGGTTCTTCCATATAAATTATCAGGATCAATTCACGATAATTAAAAATTACAAACTCAATTTTATTACTTTTATCTTAAGGTAGTAAAATCATTCAATTGTCAATGAATATAATCAACTAAATCACAAATGCACTGCCTCAAATCTTTATTCATGGTTGAAGTGCTTTGTGTCTTCCAAATCAAAATTTCCATTTCTGAACCGACCAAACCACACACAGACGATGCTTTGTCTTAAGAGTCTTCACCGTACACATTACAAATTGTCTTAACTGCATTAAATGACAAAATGTATTATTTTCCATCCATTTTAAATTAGCAAAACACTTTGTAAAAATACGAGATCTCGAACGAAACTGACAAATAAAAACACCTTAACTCATCCCTTTTCTGTGTGTAAACAATATAACGACTAAATAAACATTGCATCCATAAAATCTGATAATTGAAAAACGCTATTGACTTATTTTACAACCCGATACAATATCAATCTTTAAGTATGGTTAATTAAATATCATCGTTAATTACTTTATCTAATTAAATATGTATTTGTCAAAGAAATAAATCACTTTTTATAATCTACAAGCACAATTCAGAATTTGTCATTTCAACCAAAAATAATTAATTGATATATTGAAGGACAAAACCGAATAAGGGAAATGAGATAAGTGCTGATTTATCAAGTTTCGCCACGAAGGAGCAGAATTTAGTCCATGAATCGTAATTATTAATATACAGTTTTTTATCTTTTTGAAATGATAAATGTTTTCATTTACCTAAGAAACATGCAGACAGCCTTGACCATAGTAATGTCTATTAAAAAGATCTGTATTACTCTTATTTTGTTACACTTTGATAAATAGTTACAAGTAAAGATATTATTATTATTAGACATAAGATGTATTCATAAAATAAATATTTATCATTGATAGAGTGTGTATTCTTGTGATTGTTTTCTTATTACGTAGAGAAATCGAAGAAGAGTTAGTATTTAAAAACAAATTATTCGTTTTTTTATACACTTCTCTCTCTCTCCAACTCATGAGTGAGTGAGTGGGCAAATGAGAGAAAGAGAAAGAGAAAGAGAGAGAGAGAGAGAGAGAGAGAGAGAGAGAGAGTGTGTTTTCTGTGATTGCTCTCTTATCACAAAGTTAAATAGAAGAAGTTTAAAAATTTAAAAACAAATGATTATACTTTTCTTATTCACTTCTTCCTCCTGCTCCAAGTAATTAAGTGAGTAAGTGAGAGAGTGGAGTGAGTGAGTGAGTGAGTGAGTGAGTGTGTGTGTGTGTGTGTGTGTGTGTGTGTGTGTGTGTGTGTGTGTGTGTGTGTGNAAAGAAAGAGAGAGAGAGAGAGAGAGAGAGAGAGAGAGAGAGTGTGTGTGTGTGGTGTTCTTGTGATAGTTTTCTTAGTACATGGAGAAATAGAAGTACAATTACCAATTAAAAACAAATTATTTTAGTTTTCTTATTCAATTTTTCTCTTCATCTCTTGAGTAAGTGGGTGAGATAGACTGTGAGCGAGTAAATGAGAGTGAGATAGGGTGTGAGTATGTGTGTGGTATCAAGATATTTTTCTCTGTCCACAAAAAGAGAAGAAGAGTTAACGTTTGCAAATAAATTATTTTAGTTTTCTTATTCCATTCTCCCTTACATGAGTGTATGTTTATGTTGGATGTACTCGTATTATTTCATATTGTAATCAAATAACATGACATCAAAACATGACAAGACACATATAAAACAAAATATCAAGCAAATGCTTAATTTTAAAAGTTTTCAATTATATATTGGGTTTTTATATGTATTTTATTTATTAACATTTACACATGAATGTAACAATATTAATAAATAAGCAATAACGTTTCTTTTTTCGGATAAAATAGGTCAGTGAAACCTGTGGTCATCTGCAATAAGAGACCAATTGGCAACTTACTTTCACAAGTCGTCCTTTTTTATATTGTTACAGTTTTCCGAATAAAAGAAAACCGTTATTGTTATTTATTTATTATGATAGTTATTAAGATCAGTCTAAAAATAAATGGAATCGATTGACTGTACTCACTGTAACGCCGTACTTAAGGGCCAGTCCCTGTAGCGTGTCTGTCTCTCGTACTTGGTGCTTTGCGTACGTCTCGTACCTCTTTAGGTTGCTCGAGGTGGAACCGTACTTCTTGAGAGACCTGGCGGTGTCCCTAATGGCGATCCTTTCTTCCATGCTTATGTCGTTCATTTTTCATTTTCGAGTGGGAGCCCTTTGTTCGAGCGAGGGTCCGTCCCGACGGGGGAGGCCCTTCACGACAGCATAAAAAAAATCGCGACGCCTCACGGTTTCCTGATGCGGTGACCGAACAGAAAGACGTGAACGAAAAGTGAGACTGATAATTCGACCGATAGGATGAGTCCTCTGGGCTCTGAGGATTCCCACCGATGAATAACCTAACGGGCAGCTGTCATGGGGAGAAACTGACTTGGTAGTGGTACTCAAAATGACAGCGCACCAATCTGACGAACGGTTAACTAACATTGAAAAAGAATGTGCCATTATTATTTAATAAATTATGAAATTCGTTTCATTGTATCATTTATATTTATACATTACTTTAATTTATAGTTTACATATACAGATAAAGATAATACTTAGCTTTCTATATATTTCTTCCTTTTGAAAAACTAGTTTTAATCATTTATAACTGATATCTCAAAAGACAACTAATAATGTAAAAACTTTATTATATTCAAATTGTTTAATAAAACAAAAATAAACGCAAACAAATTGAATGGATAAGCATTCAAATAGACATGACAATATATTTTAGACACTTTAATATCAACATCACAATGCAATTTTCTAATAAAAGAAAATTGAAATCTAGATTTAGTAAAAATAGATAAATATACATTATATCAAATGTAAGAACCGACATTATTCTTTAAATAAATGTTCTTTTTTTAATTTAGAATACAATACATTGTGCTGAGCACTATTTCTGTGAGACCTAGAATATATAGCACAAATAAGCACGATTCAAATGTAAGTACATTTCTCCGTTAGAACTGAAATAATATTCATAATTTATGGTAGGCTTTGTTTAAAATATTATCATATATAAAAGTATAATATTAATTTACATTATTTGCAAGCATTCATTGCTTTTATATTTTATGTAAATTGTTATTATAGCGTACATCAAATTAGAATATTAAGATAGAAACATTGTATATAGTTATACTATATAATTGTAATAAGATTAATTTAGAGTAAGCAAAAACGTTTATAAATTGTCTAAAACTGAATATATTATGTGAGAGAATGGATGAGTAGTCCAGAATTTTGATTAAATTCTGCACTCTAAATAAGACCATCATTCATTCAATCTCTCTCACTCACTCATCACTCTCTCTCTCTCACTCTCTCTCTCTCTCTCTCTCTCTCTCTCTCTCTCTCTCTCTCTCTCTCCCTTTCTCTGTTGTGTGAGTGATCTAGTTTTCTATGATTTTTTCTCTCCTTCCTGAGTGTATTACATGTACACATGCTAATCAATCTTAATATTTATATGTACAAGATGACTTTTTTTACATTAAACAATTTTTTTTTTTTAAAGTGAGTGGTTGTTTAATAATTTGTTGGATTCATGAGGAGCAGTCAAGAATTAAAAAACCACCTTTTTTATATTTTTGCCTGTTTCAACCTTTATTCGGGTCATCTTCAGAGCATAAAGTATGGTGTTATTCTTCTGGGATTATTATTCTTGTATGTTATGTTATTCTTCTGGGATTCTTCTCCCTATTCATCTCGTGTCATATCGGTGGAATATCACAGCTCCATACTTTATGCCTAACAACAATTTCACACAATACCAACATGACACCACAAGAATAGCACCACACTTTATGCCCTGAATATTACTCGTATAAAGGTCAAAACATTGGCAAAAAAATGAAAAAGTTTTTTTATTTCCATAAAACATTTTTTTTAAAACTGTTTATACCATGTTCTAAATTGGGGCTATCAATGCACAGGTGCATACACTTAATCTTTATTGTTAGTTTACTTTACTTTTGTTTGTTTAGGTTTAGTTTTGATGGAATTTAAAATTTCTATTCAGTCTTATATGTGTTCTAGTCAAATCAACCGTTTAGTTGTGTGCATGTGGTTTAACTCAATTTTGAATTTCAAAGTACCTCTTAGCGTTACATTGTTGTTGTGTTTCATATTTACATTTCTCTTGGCAATTTTCATTTGTGTTTTCACTTGTCGTAACAAATGAACACAGCATAAAAAGTACAGTATTAACAGTTATGAAGAATATTAAGAACAGCATTTTTTTATGGTCAAAAAAATAAAAGCCATGGGTTTTATTTTATTTTATTTATTTATTTATAAAAATAAAAGGTTTCTCCATTGAGAAACATGTTTTAATAATTTTATACCTAACAGACATCACAATAGACAACTAATAAGACAAAACTTTATTACATTCATACTGTTTAAAAAGACAAATAAATGCAAAAATTGAACGGATAAGCTTTTAAGCTTATTTGTGGACTAAAAATGTCATAGTTGAGAATCTATATCTTTGATATTCTGTGGTGACTTTAATTTCAACATAAAGAGGGCATTTCCTAATTCAAAAAATTTAGTATTTTTTCGTTTGGTCCTACTCATTTAGTGTAGGTGGTTTTAATTTCTCTCAATTCGAACTACAAGGTGACCACATTGCTCCTCTATTGTTTAATATCTTTACTAATTATTTTAATTAATTATGCTTTTTATCTAAGGTCTTGGTTGAGATGAGAAAGCTAGTGTTGTGAGGATTCGAACCCACAGCCGAAGGTTGTATAATTAATTAGGTCAATTATGACTACTAAATACATATATGGATCTTCATTAATATTCTTTCTGTTTCCTTAATCATATTGCTATTTGATGATGTTTTTAAAAGAAAAAAAATCTGTTGATTGTCATCTTCAAGAGCCTCATATTCCTCAGGGTGAATGTATGAAACATTGACAATCCCAGTGCTTACATTGCTGAAGACGGGTAAGTATAATTTACATCTCTAATGTTAAGAAGACATTCCAGTCTTTGTGATTTTTGAAATCGTTTTCCTTGATTTTTAGTCACCTTACTAGGGCTGTAAATATGAACCATTGTTGTATACAGCCAGTATTATATTTTTAGATGTATGCAGTATTTTACTATGAAATCTGATCCATACTTGTTCTGGCTTTTGCCTTTTTTCCAGGTGAGCTTTTGATCTGGTGTTATTCCCAGATACTTCTTTTCCTTAGAGAGAGTTATATTTTTATTTTATTATTTTTAAGATGGTGCTTTTAGATTTCTTCTTTTTGTGAATGGTATGATTGTATTTTAAAATTTATTGAACTTTTTATATGCGTCGAAGCTTTTCAAAGTTAGAATTTTACTTATAAAAAAGTTTCCATGTTTCTATTCAATTCAATTGCACTGTGGCATTTTCAAAGTAACAATATTCCACATGGAAATTTTGCACATTGGACATTTTGCACCATCGCACTTTTTTTTTCCATCAAATCTCTGGTGAACCATTGGGTATTGAGGACAAACTATATTTTCCCTTCAGGTTTTTTTAGGTTGGAGAGTATGTCACCGGCCTCAGGGTTCAATATAGACTCACTATAAATCCTAAGCTTCTCGATTTAATCAATTATTCAGTCTGTCAGGCTAAAGACACTGGAATAGGCAATTTTTCATTTTGCTAATATTTGTTTTATCAAGTTTTGCCCCAAAGGCCTTTTACTGTAAATTCATTTCTTATAAAACAGTATATTTATCCAGATTCAAGATATGTAAACCACAATTGACAAATAATTAAGATAAACATTTATTACTAGGAATTATCATAGGCTGGCAAATTTAGCAAATATAATTTAGTTACAGCAGAGTCAGCAACTACTTTCAGATGCTCATTAAAAGAAAAATAGGCAGAAAGAAAAAAAAAGGCCAGTGACAACTCTAGATATTTGCTGACTAGCAGTATATCTCAAATGAATAGCTATAATTTAAAAAATTTGAGATGGTGTCAATTTCCTTTCAAATAATCATTACAGATAGAAATATAACCTTGAATGACACATTTTTTTTTGGTTTGATGTGAACAAGGGCTTAAAGAGAAATTATTGTAGGATACTTTAATTCTTCGTTACCAAAACTTGCGAAATCTTTCATCTGGAGAAATGGCTGGCCTTTTTTTATCAACCATTTTTTTCCTGGCGCGTTGCCTAGTGGTTTTTAAGGAAATGTGGGAAGATATTGCAAAGGAAATTCATCATTTTCACAATTAACACGGTGTACCAATAGGCGCCAAGTGAGACACCATTGGTACCTAAGCCTTAGGTGAAGAATTGGTTCAATACTCTACCATCCCTCCTCTAGTAATGAACATCAAATAATTGTTTCAGGATTTTAATTAAAAAAGAAAAATAAATAAAAACATAATGTCAAAACAAAATAATATAATTATTTATTATCAACAAAACTGTACTTGTAAGAGAAATTACAAAAAATAAAACTAAAACAAAATAGAAAAATATTTTTTAATACAATATTTTACATATATATATTGACTTACATGAAACAGTATTTAAACAATAAAAAACATAAAAAAATCAAGTTAATATATTGTAACATAAAGAAGAAAAAATAGATTTGAAAAGTTGTTAACAAAAATAAATTATGTATCTACAACAAATTCAAGAATAAATTTGGAAAAGTTTATGAAATTTATCAAACTTCTAAATTTTTTTTTTAAATATTACAATCCTAACAAACTATTGATGTTATCTTGAAATGTTTAAATAATTTATGTATATTGAACATTTAACATTTAAAATCCGTTAATGAAAATAGTTTGTAAAATACATGAAAATTTTTTTGATAAAATGGTACATTAGTGTGCTAATGGGATGGAAAAATTTTCATTCGACCAAATGTTTTGTCATGTTAACAACAACAACAACAACAACAAAATTCCAAGTTGCCAATTATCAGAAACATTATGAAAAATATTTCCAAAGATATTGTAAGGGTGCAAAATTGGTATACAAACAACCCTGGTGGGGACCGTCTTTCCCGGGAGAAGGTCATTGTGTGGCTGGAGACGAGCGAGTCGACAACGGTGACCGAAATCCTTTATTTTTCTGTAAATTCCTGGATCAGGGAGTGTGCCCGCTCCTATTTTAATTAAGCGTATTTGTAAATAGTATTTCTTTAAAATTGATCTAAAGTTGAAATTGTGTTGTTTTTTTCTTAAGAGAATTTTTTTTGTTAGCTATACATTTTTTTAGTTTGTTTTTATCACACGGCATTTTTTGTAAATATAGCTTTTTATCGGATTTCATAAGGTCAAATTATACATTTTTATTTTATATGTGTAGTTGGATATTTCCTTTTTCCCGGTTCTTGTTTTCCTTTTGGAAAAACTTAGAATTGTTCAGTCGGGGACCGACGGTCCATTTAGACGACTAACAATATAATCGGGTAGAAACATATCTGTTATTTATATTGTCCAAATAGATTTTCTATCTCCAGACGGTTTCCATCTGTTTTTAGCACTGTATAATACGGCTTCAAACATGGCTTTAAGAAGCAGAGGACGTGAAAGTGCCAGTGGACGTTCAACAGGGCAAAGTACATCAAATGAAGAAAATCAGACTAATCTGAAAAGAAGAATGTTCGATGTTGCCTATCAGCGTCTACAGGCTTTTCCAGCTTCTGTAATAGGCCGCAATTTAATCATGAGGAATATAAATATAGGATTTGAAAATCTCATACATACAGATGCTCCTGTATTCAGACATGTTTATATTCGATTGGCGTATGTGAAACTTCAAATCTTAATAGAGAAGAAGGATCAATGGCTAACACTGTAATGGAAGCCATAGCTCCTTTTGTACCCGAGGAACTGTTCTTAAATACCGCTGATGCAAGAAGGAAGTATTTTGTCGCTTGCTTAACTTTCTTAGGCAAGTACATAACTCCAGCTTATTACAGACCCCCTGCAGGTGTTGACAATGATAATAATTATGATCGTTTGTCACGTGTAGAAGGTGGTACTGCTACTGACTTATTTAATCATATCTTCACAGTAGAGGAATGTGGCAACAACACTTTTTCGGTATAAGACCTTATTGTATTACTCTGTGTAACATCATGCAGTTCATTGCTACCTATCCATCTCCAATTATGAAAGATATCAACACCTCAGCTTTTGTGACTCTACACGTTTCGTTGAGTAAAAGAGGAACAATATCAGCTGATAAAATGGGAAAGATTACAGATACCGTAAGAGAGGATACAGGTAAACATAAATGAACACAGTATACAAGTGACTTATGTGGATGAGAAAAATGCTTTCTCAAACGACATGAATGAATTATCTTTAAGAATGCAATTAACCTTAATGCAAGCTTCTGGTTCAGGACTAACATCGTATAAAACAATTAAAATTGCTATTGCAACAGCTACTACTTTCCCATGGGGTAGAGCTGCTCAATTAATACCCGTTGATTTCCAAAATTTTGTTCAAGCTATTCATCATGTAGGTGATAATGATTATTTTGGTTTTGCCAAAGATTTGGGTGTTGTTAGATTTACTCTATATAAGTCACATTAGTGACTATCAGTCAAAGTTTTAATTAAAGGTTGGGGAGCTGAGTATAATGCCCTGAATAGATACGCTGGGTTGGTCGAGGTCTCAGACAAACCTCGAGATTTACAGGTCTTATTAGATAATTGGAATCCATCTGATATAGCACATGAGCCAGTACCTGAAGGAGTCATGGATACTCTTAAATTATTGAGACAAGATCGTTTAGGTGAAATTATCGGTGAATGATAATCCAAAAATGATCTGCTATATAATAAACTGTTTTAAGCTATTTTATCAAAAGTGTTCACAGTTATCGCATCATAAATACACATGAGATATAATATTGTTAAAAAAAAAGAAAAAATTATATTGTTAGTCGTCTCAATGGACCGTCGGTCCCCGACAGAACAATTCTAAGTTTTTCCAAAAGGAAAACAAGAACAGGGAAAAAGGAAATATCCAACTACACACGTAAAATAAACATGTATAATTTGATCTTATGAAATCCGATAAAAAGCTATATTTACAAAAAATGCCGTGTGATAGAAACAAACTAAAAAAAAATGTCCTGTTAACAAAAAAATAAAAATAAAAAAAATAATAATAAAATAAAATAAAAAATTCCTCTTAAGAAAAAAACAACAACACAACTTTAGATCAATTTTAAAGAAATACTATTCAAGGATCCAGGAATTTACAGAAAAATAAAGGATTTGGCTCACCATTGTTGAGTCGCTCGTCTCCATTCACACAATGACCTTCTCCCCGCTTATCATTCTCCCGGGGAAGAAGGTCCCTACCAGGATTGTTTGTATACCAATTTTGCACCCTTAGAATTTTTTTTTCTTCTCCCTACATATATAACCACATAATTTAATCTTCTACTGAGCTCGACCTGAACGGTAACCCGATTGTCCCAAGTATAGGGGGTTGGGTAATGGACCAGAAGTTTCTTTCGTCTTCTTCGGAATCCTATTTCAGTCTTATGTCTTCTCCATTTCTCATTCAGTGCATGCACCAGCACATGATTTCCTTACTTGCTACTTCCACCACTCTATATAACGAGAAATTTAAACTTTAGGGGAAAAAATGGGGGCAGTAGTAGTAATTAGACCTTAGAGCCATCCCACTGTCAAATTTAACACAGTAGAAACTTTTTTTTTTCTTTTTTTTTATAATATTCTGGATATATTTTTTATGAACAAAATTGGTGAAATATCTAGAATTGGGGAAGTTTCAAAGAAATAACTATATCTGCTGGTGCATGGTGTGTTCCGTATCAATTTCCGATCAATTCATCTAAATTCGTAGATTTGTGTACTGTGCTCTGGCACGTGAGTTAGCGTCAAAGATTGGTACCTAAAAAATAGAATTGGTCTATATTTGACACAGTACAAATTTTATAAGATTGATAAACTGAAAATATATAACAGAAAATAAAAATATAAAATAAGAAAACATAAACTTACATTTCAATTAATCTTTCTTTTTAACTAAGGTCTTGATTAAAATGAAAAAGTTAGTTGTATAAAGTGAGATTTGAACCCACGATCTTTGGCTTGAAAAATGGCAAAAAGAGGGAAAATTTGAAAGTTTGTAGGTTGGGATGGGAAGTTGGTGTCTGAGTGGATCCAAGTCACGATAGCTCAAGTGATTAGAGCAGCTGCGTTTCAGCCAAAGGTCATGGGTTTGAATCCCGCTTGTGTCTACTGACTTTTTCATCTCAACCAATACCTTGGATAAAAAGAATAATTAATTGAAATAATTAATATGGTCAATTATGACTGCTAAACATGTACGGATAAACTTACATTTCGGAACTTCTGTGGTAATAGTAACCTTCGATGGTTGCTGAACTTTTCTGGAAACAAATATAGTAGAAGCCAGCAAAAGAGGCACCGTTTATATCTCTAATTGTATGGTCTGGAACTAGGAAATGTTCTTTCCACCTCATAAAAACAAAATCGGTGGATTTAATCTCATCGTAATCGAAGCAGTCGGAATTGAAGGTTTTAGCATATTGGCAAAACGATGAGAATTTACTCTGAAACAGAAAAGAACAAGATGGAACATAAATTTATGAGTTTTAATGTATGAACTTTTTTTTTTTAAACCCAATGATTCATGAGGTTTAAAACTAACTGAATAATAACTGGGTAAACACTATTTTATTTCTTAAATAAATAAATTATATTCACATAATAGCCAAATTACCTGTTTGTTTTGTATTGACATTATATAGTTTGATGAAAATCGGTTAATTTCGAGAACGGATTACCTAGCAGTAAAAGAATTTTTTTCTCTCTCCAAATTATTTATTTTAATTTTCGATGTTTCACTGATGAAATTTAATTATTGGAAAGAAAGAAAAAACAAAAACCAGTCTGTAATTTGCCTTAAGGGATTTACGGTTGGTGGTCAATTTGGTGAACCGATTTTCACCAAATTATTGATTAGGCATGAACCATCACAACAACGCTCAAGTCCTTTTTTTTGGTTTTGTTCTGTTAAATTACAAACATACTTAGTCTGGTTCATCTTGGCCAATACCGGACGGTTGTTGTAACAGTGAACACGAGTGAGCAAGCGAGGTGTCACCCGAGAATCCCACTAAAGATGATTGGACCGCGAGGATGGAATTCCATTTCTAGAAACAAAACACGAGTAAGTTTTTTTGGCCTATAAATTTAAATGGATATCTAATGTGTAGTATAAAACAATTTTGTTTAGCACTCTTAAGTTTGTTTTTATCAACATGAATGGATAACAAAAATTTACTTCAACCTAGTTTTCTATTTTTATTTCAATGTGAAATAAGACTACTTAAATCTATTATTTCGTCTCGGTTGGCCTCTTAGAACCACACATTTCTGTTAAATTATATATACATTAATAATTAACTCATTTTTATATGTTGACTAATGAAACTGAAAATGATTTAGGATGAATATCGCAAAAATTAATTTCATCGGCGCCATTCTTCTATTGAAGAAGATTTTTCCAGTTTGCTGTAAGCCTTGATTATCTAAATGTCTAATAAAATTCAATTTCTGACGGAAAAAAATCAAACCAAAGATAAAGTTAAACAAATGTTATTTGCTACATTATGCTAGGACTTATATTATGCATGTATGCTTACTTAAATTATGCTAGGCACCCAGACAGATAGTATAAAATCCGTTTCTGAACTTAATAAAATAAATCAAAATAAGATATAGGAAAAATCCTTGTTCTGCTTATACTGAAATAAATAAATTGAATTATAAATGGTACAGCTGTTCCCCATGATCATATGAGACTTGATGAATTAAGTCAATGCAAACTGAGGCTCTGCTGGTAAGTTCACATTATCTCAGCGAAGGTGAGACTTACCAAAAGCCAAAATTGATGTATTTTTACTCTTCCGGTTGTTGACTTTTTGTATTTCTTGGATTGGTCAAATACAAAATTGATGATTCATTAAACTGTTTTTATCCACCGAGGCATTCTAATGTCAGACATAAGACAGATTTTAACTAATTTAAAATGTAAAGCAATTTGTTAACACTTTGAGAGAAGTTTTATAATAAAAGCTACATGATACCTACATGCAACACGCTCATAAATATTTTCTAATAGATTATATTCATTTGTCGCGGTGGAAGAAAGACACTGGTCACGTGACCCCACAGAAAGGAAAAAAAAATATACAAAGAATAAATGAAAGAAGAATACATCAAGTTTAAGTACTTAAAAGCTTTAAGCATTATTAAGACTTAAAGCATTATTTTTGTAACCACTGGAAATAATGTTAGAACGTTGCCATCTTTTTACCTCAGTTCCTGTGGATTGTTTACTATCATTTGCCAATTGTCCTTACTAAATCAGTTAAACTGTTCGAAAGTTACAGCATTTTTGTTTAAAAGTTTATTGTGGGTCTCGTTATCAGACAAAACAATTAAAGTTCATGTAGTGAATGCATTAACAACAGCTCGCATGACTTAACTTTTGTTGAAAGAGACTTGAATCAGTTTTTGTTCACTTTTGATTTGCAAACCATTGAATGTTCTTTCTCATGGTTCTAACCGTCTTAATTTTGTTTTTCTATTCAGTAAGTTTAGCACTTTCAATTTCTTTTACGATATAACTCAAAGCATATTTATCAAGTAGTGTCATTATTAGGTCGCAGGGTCCAAAAATCAAAAGGCGTCTTTGACTCATAGTTTTGCCTAGTATTTCGATGGAGTAGGTAAATGTCTTAATTTTGTAATATAAATCCTGCAATTTCCATTTCTTTGACAATAGGACTAAAACAATTATATGTCAGTCATTCCAAAGAAATTAATGCTTATGATAAAATTATAAACATCAACAACTTTTGTACCAAAGATGCTGAATAGAACAAGGTGATTTTAGTATCACATGCCAAGTTTACTTGAAGCTCATTTTTGTTTATGAACTATTTTTTAAACAAAAAACAAACACATACATATTGTAAAAGTTGGACTGGAAATGGTCAACTGAGAAGTTCACACGTTTCAACTTGAAAGGAATGATTCATAAATTCTTGATTTAAACACCCACTATCAACTTAAACTGGAAAGTTTGATACACAAGCAGTTCTGGGTTCGAATCCTAGCAAAGACTTCTTTTTAGTTGATAATGGTATGAAAAATATGTTGTAAAGTGGTTTGAACATATAGTTGGACATTAAACCATCCTGTCTGCCAGGCATTACTTTATTTTTTATTTTATTACAGTATAATTATTTAATTTGTCTACTGGGCTAATGAATAAAAACTTAGAACTAGTTAAAAAAAAAAAAAAATGGTTTAGGCATTGACACAGCGCTCATCACTGTAAGGTAAAGGTCCCGGGTTGGAATCCAGCGGTCCTGCATTTGAACCTGATATACTTACATATTTTTTTCAAAAACTTAGGCACCCCGAGGGTTCATATAACCTTGTAATTGAAATACCCTCATTAAAAAATTACATTGTTTCATAGATGAAGGTAAGGATTAGGGTGCAAGTAGTAGGGCTGTCTATTTTTTCCTACCTGAGTGAGTAAAGTGAATTATATTAACACTTACTGCACTTGAAAAATACCAACAAAAAAATTACAAAGTGGGTCTGAATAGACCCAAGAATCTTTTTTATCTACAAAACGAGTAATAACAATAGGAGCCATGATGATGCGAAGTCGTACTTCCCATTAAAGACAAAATATTTCCTTGGCTACATGCTGCTCTTGTCCGCGCTTCACAAAGTGACCCCTGACTTTCAGATAAATAAATAAGTTTTAAGCCACAGGCCAACATCACTCATAATTTTTTTTAAAATAATAACAATTACATTTTTGTTCAAAACTTTTAAATAAAATTACTTTACCTTCAGGAAAGACCTAATAGAATACAGTGGAGGGTAGTGAAAAAATAATAATTAGACAACAAAACCAGGAGTGGGACCTTAAAACCTTTGATGCTGGGGTGAGTGTTAATATTACACAAAAACCAGATTTTTGAATAAATAATTTCCTCTCTGAATTCATTAACACGTTTGGATTATTGATGATTAACGGAACGGCACTGTACTAGAAAGTTTAAATCCCAGCGAACTACTGTGAATTCACCTAGGGACACTTGATTCTGGATCGAAGGGTGCTTGACATCCACATGTTCTGTTGTATAGTACATAATTGACAATAAAAACACCTGCTAAAGATGTTGGGTGATTGTTGAACTTGAGACAATCTGCCAAAGACCCAATTTTAATCATTCTGTGTAACTAATACCGGGATGTAGAATGACGAAAGATGAACTTCAGATATGGATAAGATGAATGACTGAAATGACCTCTGGATCAATTAATATTAGCATTCGATTTCCAATGATTGTAAAAAACCCGTACAAACGTCTCAAGTGCGGCGATCTGATTCAACTTACCCAATGCTTCTTGTCGACGTCTTCATCCGCTTCCCATTTCCTCGTCAAGAATGGGTACTTCTTGCTTATGATTTCCCCATCGAAGAAAGTGGTGAGCGTAGGGAACTCTTCCGTCAGCCCTTTTATTTTCAAATACCCGCACAAATAGGCGTTCTCCTCGTCAACATACTGAAAACGGAGAAAAACAGTTATAAATCAGCCCCGAAGGGAAAGTGGGCTAGGTAAAAGTAGTTCAGTGGAGCATGTCATGCCAAATGGAGAAACGCCGACTTTTTGGGGGCAAAAAGTACGGCACGGATTTGACAAACCGGATAAGGTTTTTTATAGGGAGATGGAAAAATAACAATAAAACTTTGTTCTGACCTGGAGGACGACTTCAACCTCGTAGCTGTTTCCCTTTGATTTCTGGTGCCCTTGGAATCTAGAGCCGTTGTACAGCAAGGAGCGGTTCACCCCCGGCTGTTTCGAGTTGGCAGGCGGTGGTGGTATGAAGTCGACCCTTACTGGCATCTTACATCTAAATTCGGTTTCATTCAACGATTTTTCTTCCTTTCGCCAGGTGTTTGGGCCTTGGCTGGGCGTACTAGGAAGAGGATGAGGCTGAGCTGAACCTTAAGCTAAACGGAGCTGCGGTGTCTATACTCTACTTGCTCCTAAAGGATACTCAATAGCATCGATTAACCATCGATTCGAGTACCATCGCTCGATGCTAACTCAACTTCCAGTAACACTTTTCCAATTAAGCAAAAATCTATTTTCTCTTTTACTCTCCGTTTTAAGTTTTTATATTTATATATTTCTACTTTTCCCACCTTTCCTTTGTAGTTTTAAAAGAACATTTTTTTTTCATTGCTCAATGTGATGACAGCGCTGCGACACCTTGGAGAAGTTTTCGTACCAAGTACCAAGTATGTCGCTTTCTTCCTATAAAGCTGATAATTATGAAATAAAAAAAATAAATGAAACAAAATCACAAATAAATCTAATGATTGATTTGAAATTTAGTTAATTAACGACCCTAAATTAGGTTAATTATACAGGGTGTTCGGCTACACGTCATACAAACTTTTCCAGTAGATTCTAAATTCAAAATGGAACCAAAAAGTCCTAACAATGGCCCGAATCCAAATAGTTTCAGAATTATTCCCCTTTTTCTGATTTTGTAAACACTTGCACTATGCGGTTTCGAACCCAAATTAAAAAACGTTAAATAAATTTATTCAAAATTTCCTTAAGTTTGTTTATTTATTTACTTTTTTAAGTCTTTACACCTTACCAATCCGTCAACCATAGATTTTTCCTTTCCTTCATCAATTTGTTCATCTTTGAAAAATTAATTAAAAAAGCAATTACACCACTAAAAAGGTTATTAAATGGAGTAGGCTATCTGAAATTTGCTGGTCTCTAGATTTAGAAATAGTAATTTAGAAGCACTAAAGTAAGTTTTTCAACTTATAATTTTTTTTTCAGTTCTGGCTACTAAAATGCTTATTTCAACACGTTTATAAATTTACCAATCCGTCAACCATAGATGTTTCCTTTCCTTCAATTTGTTCATCTTTCAAAAATTAATTAAAAAAGCAATTACACCACTAAAAAGGTTATTAAATGGAGTAGGCTTTCTGAAATTTGCTGGTCTCTAGATTTGGAAATAGTAGTTTAGAAGCACTAAAGTAGGTTTTTCAACTTATAAATTTTTTGTTCAAAGTTCTGGCTACTAAAATGCTTATTTCAACAAAGTTTACAAATTTAGTATTGATCACATCTCGTTAGAAATTTAACGTAGTTTTCAATAGTATCAATGGATTTGTCCAAAAGCTTTTAGTTTTGGAATTATCACTGGTTATTTGAAACAAGGTCATGAAATCTTAAAAAATCAGAAAAAGAGGAATAACTCCGAAACTGTTGAGATTCAGACCAAAGTTAATTAGGACTTTTTGATTCAATTTTGAATATAGAATATACTGGCAAAGTTTATAATATGAGTAGCCCAACACCCTGTAATAATTCTGATATAATTCTCTTACAAAAGTTGGGTTTCTTAAAAGTGGTTTGTCTATAAACATTTGAAAAACCTTTTCACTGTCTTTCTAACAAAAAAATTCTGCTCTTCTTACAATATTAATAATAATATTGATTTAAATATCAAAAGATGTTGGAGGTATGTTTCATCCCAATATGCTATTTCATTGTTAGTAAATAAGACTTTTTTACACTAAGAAGTAGTGTAAAGATTTAGAATAATATATTTGTATTTGGAGTTTTTACAATTTAAAATGCAATATTAGACGTAATTATAGTAGAAAGTGGCCAGTACTAGCTGGAGGGAGACACAAATGGCCCAAAAGTTTTGTTCTTCCACCAGGGTTTAACTTCTATTTTCAACGCCATTTTACATTTAACTAGATTAGGTTTAATTATACAAAATCATTTTTGTTTTGTTTGTTTTAATAAAATAAACTTTATTAAAATATAATATATTATTTTCAAGCTTGTACTGCAGCTTGTTCAGCTTTTATCCTTTTCCTATTTTCTCTTTCTTGCCTCATTTGCCTTTTCAAAGCTTTCTGTTCAAGTTCATCTAAATCCTCTTGGAAAATAAGTTTCATGAGAGGGTAGAATCGATGTAGCTTTGGTAAATCGCTAAAAGAGATCTGAAAATATAACAGTTTAGTTTAAAAAAATAAATAAATAATAATTAGACTTCAAGTTTAACCATCTAAAAATACCGTCATGTTATCAAAAGCGATGCCGACATTTTTCAGCATGTTAAAAGAGTCGAGTCGAGGAAGCTTCGCGTATCTTTGACTGAAGTGGGTTAAAATTGTGTATTCTGCTTCCATTTTTTGTCCCACCTCAATCGCTTGTGAAGTGGTTGAGTGCAATTTGAGCTTTGCTTCTGCCTCCAATTCATCTTCCATTGTTGCTTCGTGAATCAATACTTTGCTCCCTTTTCCGAGCTCCACTAGCGAATCTGACGGAACTGTGTCGCCAGAATAGGTCAGTTTCCACCCGTCTGAATGCGTCAAAGAGATTCCAAAAGCGTTTGGGCAATGTTTTACATATGCTGTCTCCAATTTGTTCAAATTTAAACTTTGAAGAAGTGACTTTTGGGTTGCCTCATTGAGTGTGTAATTAAAAAAAACCTGAAAAGTTATTTAGGTAAATTAATTTTAATTATTAGAAAAACTAACTAGTTACCACTTCTGAATTTGGTATCAGCTCCAAACAACCAAGAATTGACTCAAAATACGTGTCATAAAGATTAAGCCAGTGCATAATCTGCTTTGGTGCTAATAAATATATCTTTTTCAATGGACTAAAAAAAGTATCAAAAGATGAGATCAAATTTAATAACAAGTGTTAAAATGCTTTAAAACTTACTCTAATTTTTGAATAGCTTTCAAAAGGCCTATTAGGCCAATATGGTGATCAGCATGAAGATGAGAAACATAAACAGCCTTAATATGATTTAAAACTTTTTCTACCTCTTCTGGGCCAAAATAGCGGACTAACTGACCATAAGTACCTTCCCCGCAATCTAGGAGTATTGACGAGTTATCGCTGTAGAAAATGTAAAATTAAGAAATGTCATGGTTTTCTGTAGTACATTAATTTGTTTTATACCTCACGTTTAAAAGAATCGCCGAAGTGTTTCGTACTTTATTAGGTATGCATGAGCCAGTCCCAAAAAATATAAAACTTGGGTTTTGTTGTTGGGTCGAATCCTGTGATGTCAATTCATTTTTGAGTTTAATAAGCTCGTTTCTTAAATTGTCATCACCCAAAACCTCATTTTTGTATTCTTCAGGGTTAATTTTGACTCTCACTGAACTGAAATACCACTGTTTTAGTCTACATTAATTTTTTTGCCATAAAAAACCCTGGTTAAATATACTTTTCTAGACTAATCTTAGGTTTCAGATAGAAAGTTGTGAATGTCCTTGCTTGTGATAACAGAAATTCTTTTTCTGAACCATTCTGGTTTGACTCTTTGGTTTCATTATCATCCTATTAAATTAAATAAAATTTAATTTTTCCATTAGAAACAGTAAAATGAATAATTTAAAATACTGTAAAAACATACCAATAAAACAGAATCATTTAGCAGAGGAAAAATCATTGGATCTAATAGATTTAATTTATGCTGAATTCTATGGACAGCCACACTTCCCATGCAAGAATTGCTTTCATTTATTAACAGATGCTGTGTACTGAATGAGAATTTTGACATCCATTCTTTATATCTGTAATGTACATATATAATAAACTATACAAGAATGAATTGTTAAACATTAAAGGCAAATTACAATGGGTTATTCATTATTTCCGGTGGTGAAAAATGAGCTATAAGAACAGGTACGTTGTCAGTTGTTGCTTTGTCAACATGGTATTCATGAAAGGATGAATTATTTACAAAAGTATCGAGGAATTTCTCATTGGGACAGTCAACCACTATAAAAAACAAAGACATGGTAAGAAACAATTTACACAAAGAAAAAGGAAATTTATTGTAATACCGAGGAATACTGGCCCCGGGTAAACAGGCTCGGTGACATCAGCAGATCTTACAAGAGTCCCATTTGGCAATATAATATCTTCACCGTTTTTTAGTTTTCCTAAAAGAGGTCCAGCTGGGACACCAGCTTCTACACATTTGGATAAACACAAACTCCCAAGCTTGGGTTGTAATTTAACAGCATAGCACATTGTAGTCTGTCTGTCTTCTTTTGGTTTATAATGTTCTAAAATTGTAGTTATAAAAAAATTAAAATATAAAAAATTGATATATTGTTCTTTAGGTTGATTGATGTATGAATATGGTATAACATACTATTATTCTTAAAAGGGTTAGTAAATGGTACCATTTTGTTTTTATTTCCCCTCATATTATTTTGAACTTTTGGTCTTTCATGAGCATAGTAATCGATGTCGTTGTCATCATCACTAGATAAACTTTCTTGCCTGAAATCGTTTAAAATAAAATATTTTAAAATTTAAAGATTTATAATAATTACATACTTAAGAGATAAAGCTTCCTCGGACAAATTCTCTCTTTCCAGAGTCAAAGGGATGTATTTCACAATAATGGCGTTATCCTCAAACTTATTTTCCGGGCTGCAGTTGGCCGATCTTATTGCCAAGTTGCGAAGCACAACAAAATTCCTTGTAGCATAAAATATTTGCTCCTGTTACCGATAGATAATAAATTATATGAAAAAACAAAAACAAATGCACATTTTTCACTTACAACGCCTTCTGGCCCATGTAAGGTAATTTCAGGTACTCCGACGTCTTGTATGGTCAATGCAACTCCAGGAAGTCCACCCATATTTTCCCAGCTTGCATGAGTGATAAAAATGTGTTCTAATTTTGACAACTTCATTTTGTGTTCATGAGCCAACCTCTGTGTTCCCTCTCCGCAGTTGAATAAATACCTAAAGCAAACAATTTCATGATATCTTTTATTCAATTTTTCTTAAAAAATATAGCTAATAGGGATTCCAAACAAAAATTTTTTAAAGCAAATTATTAACAAAACTGGTTCTGCCTTAGTTATTCAGTAGAACCTATAAGACTCTAAATTTATGTTCCTTTACCAAAATAAAAATAAAAAAGTATTCTCCATTGTGCTTTGAATGCTTTTTATTTATTTATTTTTTTAGTTCCAATTCCAGACTCTGTTTCCTATAAGTCCAACATCCATTTTGACCAAGAGATCGGACATTGGACTTTCCATTTCCAAGACTCATCTGTTTCATTTGTATCGGATTTTATATGGATAACTCATTTGTACTTTTTGCTTCAGTACATTGATGAATTTTTTTTTGTTTTGGTGAAGAGGGGAATTGGTCAAAAATTCCAGAAGTGACAGTGGGATTCGAACCTACGACCAAGACCTGTGTGATTTTGCTATTTGCCTATGTTCAAGTAGGGCAGAGTAGAAAAACACAATTCTTTGGGGTTTCAATGTTTTATGTAATTAGATTGCAGAACGTTTCTTTATTTAAAACTTTTTTTATTATTTAGAAATTGTGAGATGCGGTCTGGTGTGATGTAGGTTTCAGAAAAACATTTTCTTTATCGTGCCAACGTTTTGATCATTATTGAGATCATCTTCAGGGCACAAAGTGTTTGTCTTCTGTGTAATTGTGCCATTCTTGCGTGTCGTGTCAAGAGTTTATTTAAAACTCCTACCAATTTAAGAAAGTTGTTGCAATAAAGTTTATTATTTTTATTATTTTATTTAAATAATACATATCTCCACTCATGAATGTTTATACTCTGGGTCTCTAAATTTCAAAGATTCAAGATTCATTCTTGTGGTCCAGTAATGATTCCTCTCGCCTGACATGAAAGCACTGGACTTTGGCCACACGATATATGATGCCATATGATCTTCCAAGAGCCATTTCATACCATCTCTTATATATATATATATTTTAATGATTTAACGAAAGAGACAATTTGATATGAAAAAGGTTAACCCATTATTTCTCAGCATGATATATCCTATGAAAAATACCATCCCTTCTTTTAGTTATTAATTTTTCACTAGGCAACCTGTTTGACATAAAACATGTTACAGCATGCCTCTCTTACAAGCTTTCCCATCATTTCTACCCCCACTATTATTTAATTTAATTTTGTTTTATTGGCTTTAAAAAAATATACAACAATACTACATACTATATCAGAAAATACATTGCACAATATATTGTAGACACTAGAAGTTCAGACTAGTCTTTGTCAAAAAATCAACTATAGCGGGGTAAACAGACACTCTTTTGTCAGGCAGACGCTGAGTGATACTTCTTGGATGTCTTTCATTTCCTGTTGATTTGGCTCTAGTAATCGCCTACATGGGAACTTGTACTTTGGGCAGAGCTCAATTTTTGGTATCTTCTGGTGCTTTGCATAGTAAACAATTAGGATTGTTCTTAAGTCCAAATCAATGACTCCCACTGTTGCAGCAACGCGGAGAGGCGATAAGTGGTTTATATTTATTCTACTTCATGTTTTCTATTTTAACCTATAAATTAGTTTGAAACGTTATCACTAGTGAATATGTTTTACTAGAAATCGATAAATCTATAACATTTTCCATTGAAGTATGTTATGTTTATGTATGAAATTTCATACATTGTACAATAAAGGATTTTTTTAAATTTTAAGTTCATTTTTTAGCAATGATCCTGTTAATTTTTTAAAATTTAAACTTAAAACTTTTCAACAATTCTCCAAGAACTGGATGATGAGGAAGCAACAAGTCTTCGGCTTGCCAGCGTTGATGAGATAAAATTAGACAACGTCCAGCGATATCTTCTGAAGTTCGATCTGTATAAGGATCATCTGGTGAAGCTCGAAATCTAGAGGTTTCTCTTGCATCTGAAGTAACAAAAAATTTGCATAGGTTTTCTACCTGAGCAAAGCACTGCCTTTGTAGGTAATTACTTAAATTCTTTTAGTTTACTAGAAACCCTCACAAAAGTAAAAATAAGTTGTAAGATACAATAAGATCCGATTGTTTTGAAATGGCACCCCTCAAAGATTTAAAAAAACAAAATGCCATAAGGATCATATGAGGCAACACAAGACATGAAGAGCAATATCACTTTGTCATCCATGATAACAATCTGGTATCGTTCTTTCCATCCTTACAAGCCCAAAAATGACAATTGCTCCTAGAATAAAGCCGAAAAATGCAAAAACTGTTTGTATAAATAATTTAAAGTTCTTCTTTTGCCAAAAATATTTACTTATTTCATGTCTTGGATGAAATAAGGTATGATAGGAATAATCATTTAGTCTTTGAGGGTGGGGTAGCTAGTGCAGGAAGTGTACCAAATTTAAATGTACTAAAAAAATTAATTGAAATAATTAATATGGACAATTATGACCACTAAATATTATGGATTAATTGAATGTGATGTACAAGTAGGGATAAAGGGGTCAAATTACACCCTTAGTAAAACCCTAGTTGTTGAGGTCCATGCAATCCAACTCTATGCACAGGAATTGATAAAGAAGAATATGAAAGGTACACAAATTTACATACCTTTGGACAGTCAGGAAGCAAAAATGCACTAAATGTGTATGCTTTTAGCTCCAAACCTGCTGGGAATGCTTCATGACCAAGGAAAACACAACAAGTTACCTTAATTGGGTTCCAGAATGTAAAAGTACAGAAGGAAACAAACATTTTGACCAAATAGCCAACAGGGCCACTCTTCTCATCCATGTGACCTAGCCACAACTAGGTGCACCGGAGTGTTTGCTAAAAGTATGAACTGGAAAAATGGGCTGAGAAAGAAAAATTCAAGTATTGGATAAAAGCACCAGGTAAGAGGCATTAGAAATCTCTTAAAAGGAAGGCAAAGGTTCTCTCTTGCTCACCAGGCAAAATTTGAGAAAAATTATCGACCTCTATACTAACCACTGCCCTCTTAACAACCACCTAGACGGGCAAAAACGCACTTTCCAAGGTATGGTAAAAAAAAGACTTAAAAAAAATCAAACTGAATTTTATTATACCAAATATTCAAATTAGTTCTTGGAAAATTGAGAACGTCAGCCATACATATTGTCATCAAATGTTGAAACACATCTAACTGACAAAACAGTGATTACCAATGACCAGGTAAAGATCATACCCATGTTTCAAATCATTTATTTTTTGTTATTTATCAATACAATTGTGAAGTACCATTGTACAAATAAAGTTTGTCAAAAATAAAACCATTAAAGACTTTGTTTGCTCAGATGATCAGAGGCGTTCATCACTTGATAAACTTCAACAAAAATCTTTTAAAATTGAAATTTCCTTGTTTTACTAATAATTTAATTTATTTAATTTATATTATTGTTGCTGATTCCACATCTGTAGGTTATTTTTTCTTTATTCTTTGGTTTGTTGGCCAGGACAAGGACAATTTAAGTTTTGATTTTCTTTTTGTAATGCCCTTTAGAGGTGAGACTACTGGAAGCTTCTTTACATTAAAAAATAAAAAAATAAATAGACCTTTTAAAAAAACCCACGTGGATCTTGGAGCCCCTAATTTAAAGAATCTCTTAATCACTTTTTAGGAAGGGAAAAATGTAAAAAATATAGAAATTTAATGTAAAAATGGGATTATACACAAAATAAATGCTTAACTAGTTGTTGGGCAGTAGAGAATTTAAAATTTTTCTTTCCGCCATAGTTTTCAGAAGAAGTTTTCCTTTATAACAGGGCTACGTATGACTTTTGCTTTTTTATTTACCTTTGATTTGATATTTCAACTTTCATATTTAAATTGTTTTTTTTTTTTAATTTTTTTTAAATTCATCATCTTTAGTACAATTAATCCATTAATATATCTTAATATATAAATAATAATGTTGCAGGGGCGTAGGTGGCTACAATGGCTAAGGTGTGACACAGGGCTCATCTCTATAAGGTAAATGTCCCGGGGTTCCAACATTCTTACAAATGGGCTTTTTTTTTTAAATATTGACACCCTGGGGGTTTATATGTCCTCTGCTGTTGCAAACCCCATAGGAAAAAAAATGTTGCACTGCACCCTACATACAGCCAGCTGGGATCAACACCCTTCATAAAAATCACCCTTCCAAGGTTTACAAGGTGAGGTCTCGCCACCTGAGGTCACATACACAGCCTCGTCAGCAAGGTCTCCTGGTCCCTCTATCAAGGTTTGTAACCAACGGTAAGCCAGTACAAGCCTGTACTCAAGATCATCAGTTAAGCCTAGTACTGGGATTCTTTGTCCCAGAGCTGCACCTGGGATTCATTTTCTTGCATCCAGGACGCTGCACGACAATGAATCTTGAATCTGGTGTGTTATGTTTTAGTAAGGAAACTTAGATGAGATTCTTTACTTAATGTTGCTAAACACTGAGTCAGTGCGGATCAAACCGACCAGGCCTCTCAACCATTCTCACACATTATTTATTTTATTATTTTCACTTTTGTTAAAATGTGGATTCCACTTTACAGATTTTCAAATGCGGCGATGTTTGTGGGATGTTTCGTCAGTAAAATACAAAGACAGGGGAAAGAAAGCAGACACTGTGGCTGAGTTAGCCCAAAAATATGGTTAGGCTTGCATATGAGTCTCCACTTGCGAGGAAACGGAGAGCGATTGCTAGCCTATTGGTAGCAGAAACTAGTACCCTAAAATTTGTCTCTTTTTTCAAAATGTGTGGTCCAACCGTTTCCAAATGACATTCGATGTGGACTGGGCTCATCCGACCAAAATTTCGGAATTACATTCCGTCTTCCAATCTCAGTGTCAAGAAGATCGTGCCCAGCTTATTAGACGATCCTAGTTTATCTGAATCTACCAATGTGATGGCTTTTTGTTGGCTCTTTTTTTTACTCCGTAGAGCTACATCAAGTGGTACTGCAATCCCTGAGAGCATGGCCTCGTTCAATATGGCTCTGACTCAAACTAGATGCGTACACAATTTCCGAAGCAACAATGTTGCGGGGCAAAGAGTCTGCGACATGTATCCGAGAGTCTGAACAAAGAATTCCAGTGCGTACTAGGTGTTATGACATAGAATCTGGGATACAGATTCTGGGGGAAGTCAGATAGTTGGATAAGATAATGCGACATCCATCACCTAACTAGAGGTTGTCTTCCAGAACAGATCATCAGCGAAAGAAGGCCTCCAGTGATCCACCACCTTCAAGACTAACTACTCAGCCTGACAACATTCCTCTCATGCGTGAAGACTGTATGCTGAGCAATAAAACTGACTGTGAGCCTGAGGCACCACCTCTTAAGATGGTGTATGTATTCAATTAAGCATTCTTTTCCGTAAAAGACCGTTCTAACTCTTTAGGAAGATATTCAGGGGCACAAGAGACAACATGATCTGTACAACAATTATATAATACAAAAATAATTCTGCTATATTTGTACATTTAATTATATTTCAAAATATTGTTTTTATTGAAGCAAAAAAAAAAAATTAAATAAATAAATAAGGAAAACAAATCATAAAAACATGCAAAACCTTGATTGATCGCTGAATAGATACAAGGATCTGGGGGCTCCTTTGGCCCCACTGCCGATGACTTGGAGAGAGAGATTGCTTGGTGAATACTTTTGCCCTTTTTCCTTCAGTTTGACCCTCTGCTTCCTCAGGTCTGTCGTGTGTGTCATTTCTTTTGGCATTGTCTGAAGGAGTTCCGTGATGCTGGTTGAGTAAAGTCGTATATTTGCAGAGAGCAGAGCCCTTCTGCGTATGCGAAGAACGGTTTTGGCCGTGTTCATCAAGGACTGCAAGATCGGTCTGTTTCAGTTGGAAAGTATTTTCAAATGTAGTCACATTGACACCACATTCTTGTTCAAAAGTTTCAGCCCAGGTTGCAAAACGGGAAAACTCTTGAAACCTACTTTTGCACGAGTTGACCTCTGCGTTGGTCTGCCGTATTCATGGTGGACGTCATGGTACGAGTTGATTAGTGATGAACACACAACAGTCAGTTTTGACAGAATTTAACATAAACGATATATCTAATGATACTATTACCTATAAAAATAAAAACATGAATAAAATGGATCTCGTTATGATCCGGATGAAAAGATAAATTCAATCGTTATCTGCCGAGCTTGCGACCTTTTTTAAGGTTATCATCATCAGGGTAAAACAATCTTAAAAAGCGAGGATAGGCGGACCAAGATTATATTCAACTATCAAAAAATAAGTTTTTCATCCCGCAGACAAAAAAAAAATCTTATAATATCTTGATCAATGATGTTTCTATTTTGTTTAGTGTGTTTTTTAGTGACCGGTTCAACAAATTTGTTTAAAGGGTTTTTTTTTTTTTTTTTTTTTTTTTTTTTTTTTTTTTTTTTTTTTTTTTTTTTTTTTTTTTTTTTTTTTTTTTTTTTTTTTTTTTTTTTTTTTTTTTTTTTTTTTTTTTTTTTTTTTTTTTTTTTTTTTTTTTTTTTTTTTTTTTTTTTTTTTTTTTTTTTTTTTTTTTTTTTTTTTTTTTTTTTTTTTTTTTTTTTTTTTTTTTTTTTTTTTTTTTTTTTTTTTTTTTTTTTTTTTTTTTTTTTTTTTTTTTTTTTTTTTTTTTTTTTTTTTTTTTTTTTTTTTTTTTTTTTTTTTTTTTTTTTTTTTTTTTTTTTTTTTTTTTTTTTTTTTTTTTTTTTTTTTTTTTTTTTTTTTTTTTTTTTTTTTTTTTTTTTTTTTTTTTTTTTTTTTTTTTTTTTTTTTTTTTTTTTTTTTTTTTTTTTTTTTTTTTTTTTTTTTTTTTTTTTTTTTTTTTTTTTTTTTTTTTTTTTTTTTTTTTTTTTTTTTTTTTTTTTTTTTTTTTTTTTTTTTTTTTTTTTTTTTTTTTTTTTTTTTTTTTTTTTTTTTTTTTTTTTTTTTTTTTTTTTTTTTTTTTTTTTTTTTTTTTTTTTTTTTTTTTTTTTTTTTTTTTTTTTTTTTTTTTTTTTTTTTTTTTTTTTTTTTTTTTTTTTTTTTTTTTTTTTTTTTTTTTTTTTTTTTTTTTTTTTTTTTTTTTTTTTTTTTTTTTTTTTTTTTTTTTTTTTTTTTTTTTTTTTTTTTTTTTTTTTTTTTTTTTTTTTTTTTTTTTTTTTTTTTTTTTTTTTTTTTTTTTTTTTTTTTTTTTTTTTTTTTTTTTTTTTTTTTTTTTTTTTTTTTTTTTTTTTTTTTTTTTTTTTTTTTTTTTTTTTTTTTTTTTTTTTTTTTTTTTTTTTTTTTTTTTTTTTTTTTTTTTTTTTTTTTTTTTTTTTTTTTTTTTTTTTTTTTTTTTTTTTTTTTTTTTTTTTTTTTTTTTTTTTTTTTTTTTTTTTTTTTTTTTTTTTTTTTTTTTTTTTTTTTNTAAGGCACGCCCAAGTTCGGATTTAGTAAATTCTCGAGTTAAAGCTGTACTCGAGTGCGAATTTGTTATATTTAAGTTAATAATTGGGCCTTGAGGGCACAAGTTTTGAACAAATTCATTCGTCCAAGGTCCTACTGACGTAGGAATACGGTTGTTTGATGTGTTTTTTAAAGATTTTAATTTTGACCAAATCATGGATAATGGAGAGTTTTTATTTAAGGAATTACAGAATTCCTTCCAACTAGATCTTTTTGCTACTTTTACTGCATTGAGGAATCTTCCGTTGGCATGTTTATATTCGGCATAACTCTGTGAAGATGGACAATTTTTAAATACAGCTAAGGCTGTTTTTCTCCCTTTTAAATAATTTTCACAATCAGAATTCCACCATGATTTAGCTAGATAGATTCGGCCCTGCATTTTTTTAAGTTTAGGAATGGCTATTTCGCTTGCGGAATTTAAAATATTCTCAAATTCTTCATACGAAGGGCAATCGGAATTTTCAGTAAGAATTTGGGAAATTTCCTTGAATTTAGACCAATTTGCTTTTTTAAGGTTCCATTTGCGACTTGATAGAACAACTTGTGGGATTTCAACATGCTCGATTCTTAATAGAATGGGGAAATGATCCGAACACATAGGGTCATCCAAAACCTGCCAAAGCCCTTTCGGAGCTAAATCCGAGCTTAGCAAAGTTAGGTCAACTGCTGATTTTTTTGTAAGAGCCGAAGGACGAAAGAGAGTAGGTGAACCATCATTTAAATAAACAATATTTTGATTTTCCAATGCTTCTATAAGCGAGCGTCCATTTGCGTCGCACCAATCGGAGCCAAACGCTGTGTGGTGGACATTGAAATCCCCTGCAAGAATAAAGGGTTTAGGAATACCATTTATAAATTTCTCCCAATCTGAAGAAGTAATTTTATTTACGTTGTTGTTATATATCGATATTATACTTAAGGGAGATGAAAGATTTTTTACTTTAATCTGTACACCCACGCACATAACGTTTCTTATAACGCAGTTTAACCTAATGGGAGAGAAAGGTAACGATTTTCGAATGAGTAAACCAACCCCACTATATCCGTCAAATCTATCTTTTCGCACAAAATGGAAATCTTGGAAAGTCACCTTCTGTTGGGGGGTAAGCCAAGTTTCGGACAGTAGAACAATATTGATTGATAATTGATCTATCAGTTTTTCCAACAAGCCTTTTTTTGGGATAAGTGATCGGCAATTCCATTGCAAACAATTTAATGTTTGTGAATTAATTGTCATTGTGATTATTTATTGTATTTTTTACTAAATATCCTGATTCTGATCATGAGGTATTGAGTTAATAATCATTTCGAAGTCTTTAATAACTGTTTGACAGACCAGAAAGATTTTTGAAAGAAGTTTTTCAGGATTATCAGATTCATTTTCAATTTCCTGCAAACGTTTCTTAAATAAGCTTAAATAATAAGATGCATCTTCTTTTTCGGTCTTACCGGGATAGGGATTGGGATTGATCTTTGGACTCGAAAACACATTCTTGGATTGGAGATGATTTGCTCTATCTGAAGCCTTTGGGGGACTAGGCTGTTCTAATTTATTAATTAAATTTGCTTTTTTGGTCACATATGGGGTATGTCTGAAAGAAGACCGGCTTTTCATCGAGCGAGTTTTATGTGTAGATTGTTCGTGTTCAGTCGGTTGCTTCAGAGGAGGAAAATCTGATAGATTGGCTAATAAATTAAATTTATTTGACGTAACTGTAGAATATAGAGTGGATGATATCGCTTTTTGCCTTTTCAGTGAGATAAGTCGGACATATTCGGGACAAGTCTTATCCGAGGCCTTGTGATTTCCTGAGCAATTCGCACACTTCATTAAATTGTTACAGGGAGATTTTTCATCGTGACTGAGTCCGCAAATTTCACACCTTTGTTTACCTCTACATTGGTCTTGGAAATGGTTAAATCGGTAGCATTTGCGGCATTGACGGAGAGGTGGTACGTAAGGATCCACTTTACACCTCGAACCGTAGATTGTAATAGATTCGGGCAACAGTTGTGAATCGAAAGTCAAAATACAAGTACCTAAATTAACTTTACGAGATTGGTTATTATCTTCAGAGAAAATTTTTGAAATTCTCCTCACCGACTTTACAGAAACGGGAGATTTTATAACATTCAGGATTTCATTTTCCGGAAGGTCAGGGTCTACACCTCTTATAACGCCCATTTTATGAATAAAGTAGGATGGGATATAAGCTGATAGATTTAGTTCTTTTAAGAAGGAAGAAACAACAAATTCATTTGCCGCTACCGGCGCTTTAAATTCAACCTTGATTCGGTTTATCCCCGAGATAGACATGTTCATAANTAAAAAAAAATGTTTTTCTGAAACCTACATCACACCAAACCGCATCTCAGGATTTCTGAATAACTATTTCAAAATTATCATCAGGGTAAGACTATCTTAAAGATTTCTACAAATTTCCGTAATTAGATTGTTCGCGCCAAATATCGCAAATTATAGTTGTTTATTTTTTTCCCAAATGCCACTAATCTGAAATCCTCACCAAAGAAATCCTAACCTACCTCTGCGCCCACCCGCGATCCTTCCTGCTTTGTCTAGTCCTGCTCGCTTCCGAATCGCTTCCATACAGTCCACTAGTTAATTAGCCTCCAACAGTTATGTTACTTAAGTTTTCCTTATTTCCAAGAAGAATTTTTATGTTTTTTACATATTGAGTATTATGGCTTCGCAAACCACGCGAGTGCCGCCTCGTTTATATTTAGTGGGACAGCTTTCGGACAGAGCCACGAAGGTAATTAATAGAATAGGATTCTGTTTTACCATTGCTAGAGTTATTACAGGTTTTAGTATTAAACGCTCTCTCCCTTGGTTGTTGAGAAAATCAGAAAAACCGTTGATAAATTAGTACTTTATTTTATTTTATTGAGACACACAAAGTTTAAGACGTTGAACGTGTAGTTTCCAATCTTTTTGGTTTATGTGGCCTAGCTGGTGTTTTCCCAGACGCGTTACAGCGTTTGTACTGCAGGTTTGTGCAATGGAATTGCCATTTATTTATATGGAGCATTAATTTTCCTAATAAAGTCCTACGACTGAGGATGGCATGAAGCCAAATCGCTCTGATAGACAAACCAGAATGATCGTAACCGACCAAATATATCAATACATTGGGCAATATTAAATAATATTAGTGAAAGTGAGAGAGAGACAGAGAGAGAGAGAGAAAGAAAGAAAGAAAGAAAGAAAGAAAGAAAGAGAGAGAGAGAGCGAGAGAGAGAGAGAGAGAGAGAGAGAGAGAGAGAGAGAGAGAGAGAGAGAGAGAGAAAGAGAGAGAGAAAGAAAGAGAGGTGTTTCTTTGTCTTCAGAGAGGATTATAAGGACCTCAAACCTGGTGCTTCCGCCCGGTGCTTGGAGTTTTCTTTCTTATTTTTGCTACACCTTGAGCATACTCTCCGGTGCCCCTTTTTTTGAAAATTGTTCAGCTTGTTCATTTACTTCTATACCTTCATGTTCCGGATGTCCGAACCAATG